GCATTTTTGGCCAGTTTGACGGTAGAACCTTCCATATAATCTTCAACAGTTTTATTCGTCCCCACTTAGAGTACGGAAACATAGTATTTCCTCCCTCCCTCCAAAAGGATAAGGTCACTCTGGAACGTATACAACGTCGAGCCACGAAATCAGTTCGGGGTCTCAAATTCAAACCTTATGAAGAGCGCCTCAAATCACTTAACCTTTACCCGTTAGAGTATAGGCGTCTTAGAGGTGATCTTCTTATGACTTATAGTATCCTTAATACTTCTGGTCATCCCCTTAAACAACTTCTTAAGCTTAGTCATAACACTACTCTCAGAGGTAACACCCAGAAATTGGAGACCCTACATAGCAGAACAGACTGCAGACACAACTTCTACTCCGTTAGAGTTGTCAAGTGCTGGAATTCGCTGCCGACTGAGCTAGTCCAAGCGACCTCCCAGGAGTCCTTTAAGAGGAAACTTGACTTATTCTTAAGGACTAAGGATAACATATTATTATGATTTACCAATTTCTTTTTTTTCCCTCTATTATCGTTTATATACCTAGGTTTTTGCCTGGAGGTATTGGTGATCCACTGCTACCAGACACGGAAGCCCGTTAAGCGAAAGCTTCTTCTATTCCGTCCTCAACCATTTGAACCATTTGAACCGGGAGGCTATTTCAGTAAATGAATACTCTTGAAGAGTACGTGATTAGAAAGTTCAGTGCGACAGTATAAATATATCGATATTTTTTCACTCATTTCAGGTTATTGTGCCGCGATTGTGAATCTTTGAGAAATCGAGATAACTTCCTCTTGATATTGAGTGTGGGATTAAAGGTAACAAGAGGATGATAATAAGCTCGATAGCAATAACTCGATGATATGTAATGACAGTAGTAGACAGGATAGGAGATACGAACATAGTTTAGCAAGTTCAAGCAGAAGAAGGCAGTCCGTACGTGAATGTACATTTAACTGGTCTCCTCGACACGTTTTTAACCTCTTCATTTGTGAAAACATTCCGTATGGATTAACCCTCAAAGACAACATGTGTGGGTACTTTAGTTATCTCGTGGAGCGTAGTAGTGGGGTCCTGGCGAGATACACGTGTTGTGGTGGCTTGTTGTATTTATTAGGTTGAGTGCCACTATCAGATAACATTTTATTCTTTTATTTCTCGGTGTGAAAAACTTTTTTCTCAGCCGGATTACACACTTTGTTGCTTGTTTATGCATTTGGTTTAAGGGATTTATATTTTATGGATGGGGTGCAACAAAATTATGAAAGTTGGGGTGAAGCCTTGAGTAAGTTTTAAATAGTGTCAGAAACAAATCTGAGACAATTGTGCTAATTTTTCTCTGTATAAAAGAAAGATTTATATTAGCTTTGGCAGCATCCCTTATGTAGTCTGAGCTGGTGTCCAAGCTCTCTTTATTCCTAGATCGCAATCTGAATAGATATTTTTAAAAGCGTTTTTATAAAGGATGCAATTTATTTGTGTCACTTGGGTCTGATTATTCATAACATGACATTTTGACATTAAATTTTAAACTAGTGTTCACTGCCCAATCCTCTGTTGTTGCAAGGTGATCTCAGGGCTCCAATAAATCCTCGTCGTCCCTTACAGACATCCACATCTTGGCATCGTCAGTGTTGATGAGGGTCAGTGAGTCAGTGTCGTCTGGAAAGCAAGTACTAAAGACTTTAGAGAAAATGGGACCTCAAATGGTTCTCTGACGTTACCGGAGCTGGTTTTCAGTTTCATATAGAACATCGTTTTCCTTCATTTATTCCACCATTATATCATTTATCAATCCTTTCATTACTTAGATATTTTAGAGCTTTTAGCTTCTTTCTTTCTTTTTGAAATTTTTGTGACTCCAGTGAGTGCTTGCACGGTGTATTGAATGCTTCTGCACACTGTTTTGGAACTAAATTTTGGATGTCGTCGCATCCCAGTGACGTTCTAGCCTGTAAGTGCTCTGTTTTATTGATATTAACCAAGGAGTAAGGCGGATATTTTCAAAATCACAAGCTGATACCAGGGTCATAAGGTATTTTGCGCTCGTAGGTCACTGGTCTGATTCACTGTTGTAGTTGACAGTGCAGATTTCCATTATCTATAGTTTGACTAGGTACTTTAAGAGAACAGAAACACTGACTTGAAGATTTTTAGCTAGTCATAAACGCATTAAGATATTTCATTTTGGCTTGTATTTGGTCTATTAACTTGATTTGAAAACATCTTTAATCGCACGAAACTTTGACGTTACATCTCCTTCTCAATGCGGTATAACAGCTGTTGTCAGAATCCTATGGAGTGTATCGGATATGATTCTTCATGGCTATGTAGTCTACCCCTCTTGATGAACCTCATTTGTGGAAGTGTCAAGTACGACTGCTCTATGGTCACTACACATAACTAGTGCTTGGATTGGGGGCTAGTCATTTGACGACAGATAATCTAGCATTCCAGCCTTTACGTCATTCCCCCATTTCATGGAGTCTTTAGCATGTTCAGTCATTCATGAACCTGTGATGGCCAAGACTAACACAGGCCATCAAGCCTCCTGTCCTGTCCAAACTGAAACTGAAAACTTGCTTGTCAGACTGTGGTGACGTCAGTTGTAACCATAAACCCAAACAAAGCTGGTTAACGAGACGTCAGCAAATCTAATTTTTCTACTCACTGGGATATCACAAATATAATAGTTTATTTAAAAGATTCGACCCAATGCTCAATTTATTTGAAATTATCAAATCAAAACTTGGTAATCATACCTACAAGAAATTGTTTTTTTAATAATAATTATATAAGTGTGAGCATATTCAATTTTTTTATAATATATAATACAGGGGAAGATCGAGAAAAAGCTTGTGTCTTCCGTGTAATAGACGTTTAAATGTTCCGGAAATCATACTTTTCTTCGAGAACGCGCTGCCCTGAGTTTATTTTCAGACGCTGACGAAGTATCAACGAGCGTGTCGGCTTTCAGATGAGGTACTATAAATGTAGGAGCAATGTCGTTCGATTGTACTGAAGGAAAATCGACGTGAATGGGATTTCCTTCGGAATACGCTGCTTTGAGGCGATCGATACTGATGCTATCGTTCGTGCCATTCCTATCGACTATATATTACTTGAATCCACGCTGAAGAACTTTGAAGGGTCCTTTGTATGCTGATTCGAGAGGTCGTCGATATGAGTCTCATCGAACGCAGAGACGTGTACTATGTCGTAAGTCAGGCTGAATGAAAACCTCAGTAGATTGGGGTCGAGTGTGAGCAGGTTTAACTGAACGCATAGCGTTTGTAACTAACGTCCGCGGTCTGTAGTGATGGTTGAAGAGCAGTCGAAATTTGCTACCCATCGTTCGACGAAAGCGCGAGCCACAGATTCAGCAGTAATGTCCTTAATAGTTACTGCTTCTGGACATCGAGTGAATTGGTCTACGCATGTTAATAGATAAGAGTATCCGTTTTAGCCGGCCGGGAAGTCCCCCGAGTTTTTATTCGTTTCCGTCGACTTGGAGTTCGGTTAATTGCAGGGTTTCCTGCAATTATTAAAAGACTTGCCATACTGGTTATGATACCAGCACCAGTCGGGGTTATCCGTTTCTCGTGGTCGAGAGACAGATCGCTTACGCGAAACACTCTTTCGCGCGGTTCTTGACCGACTACGGTCATTACGAAATCGAAGATATCATGTGAATGTGACATAATTCGGTGGTCATTCTGGGTCGTTTGAAGTTTTTCTTTGACTGAAGAGACGTCGACGCTAGTAGATTTCGTGATTTCTAAGATGCGGTCAGCAGATGCAGACAAGAACTGCTTGCACCTGTTTTGGGAGTTTGGATAAGAAAAGCTGTTTAAATCGGCCATCGTCGAAAGTTCTTTGGTCTATCACCTCTCACATCCTTAGCAACATATCTGTCGCAGAACCATGTTGCAGGTCGATATTGTTAAGGACTTGATCGAAACTTTGTCGATCGATTAGATCTCCGCGTCTAAGAGTCGACCGTTTTAGTGTTTCGTAAGGTTTCGAAAAATCACTAGTAAACATACTAGGTGTGATGTACCTGTTGAATTCACACGGTAGTGCCATAACAACCACGAATAACTGAGTGTGTGAGTCAATAGTGCTATGCCCGTAAAAGTTGGTTTTTGCGTAACAGAACCAGGCTTCGATATTGTCCGGCCAAAAACACATTAATTGAATCGAGGGTGTGGGGATAGTCTTTAATCTAAATACTTTGAGTGTCTGTTCCGTCATTGTGAAAAAACAAGTATTATAATGAACGAAAAATATATAATTGAAATATATCTGAAAACTGGAAAAAAATATATATCACAATATATAAATGTGAAATAAAGCAAAACAATGGTTTATGAAGTTCCAAAGAGGAACAGACTCACAGTTTATCGTTTGGTGTACCAGATGACGTTGGTCTCACCACTGAAGATACCACCAGTATCGCACTTTGACAACTCTTTACCAGTAACACCTTCTATAATCGAATCGAGCTCATCCAGGTAAAATCAGAAGTCAGAAGTGAGGAGGTTGGAATATATATTTGATCGGTTATCAATATAACGAGAAGTGACTGATCTAATCTGGCTAATTATTGTAGGAGATGCTTCCCACGCCGTTCTGAAACGTGATCTGATACGGATGCATGACCGAGCGCCTTCAGCAAAATGAGTCCATTAAAACTAATGTGGTCGGCATCCAATGTGGAATACTTACAGAGCCACTGATTTTGGGGATTTTATTTACAGCTACTCCCATATGATGGTAAATTGGCTTAACCAAACCTATTGCTGTTGTCGTATAGCATAACCAGAGGTGACCAGAGGCACCTGACATGCCTTCATTTTTGTTGTATTTTAAGATAGAATATTTACGAGGACACTGAAAAGTTCACAAACCCAGGGCGACTTACTTGTCAGCTTACTATTTATTTTTTCATCTACTCATCAACGAGGGAAATTCATTACTGTCATCTGTCGACTCTTTTAGAAGAAAGTTCAATCAACTGAGAGACTACTATTGCCAAGACTAAACAGGGTACATATCATATTGTACTTTCGAAAGTTAAATCGATTCGGCGATTGGTTTCATCAACTGGTGCTCCTCAGCAATAGCCTCGATTTTCAGAGTGATGGAAGGGATGCTGTTCCTGTCAGGATAGCAAGCTAGGATTCTGGAGTAATATGAATCGTATTTGTAGTTAGGGGAAACAAACAGACATAACCGTGTGTCATGAACGAAAAGACGAAATCCACCACAGTTGGTCTGTTAGAATACTACCTGCTGAACATTGTCAAAGATTTGCAACCGTAGCAGAATAACCTGAAATGAGTGCAAAGATATCAATCAAATTAAACAGAAGTGTTATAAATATATTGGCTATTGGATAAAACATGCACGTTGCATTGGAATAACATAATAAAGAGCAGTAATTGGATATTTGCGTTACTTTTTCTTAATGAGTTGGTGTTCAACTCTTGCTAGTAGTTCTGTGCTAATATGGCGAAGTGCAGTATTTCAGGAGAAAAATTCATTAACTTTGTGTTCAGCCCTTGTGTTGGGTTGCTTGTTAGTCCTGATGTTAATGAACTGTGTCTGCGAGATAATCTGACGTTTGAGGAGTTATTAAGGCCATTTAGCCAACTGTCTAAAGATGGTTCGTTCATAATATTTGCCTCATTGTTATTTTTAGTAACGTTTAGAGACAATAATAATGTCGTCCATTCTGTGAAAAACTTACAGCTAAAATTTTTTGATATCAGTTCATGTCTTTCGCCCAAACACATAACACAATCTTGGGTGCGATATTTTGTTAACGTGTGTTCTACAGATAATACTGTCAGGTCTCAAAAATTTTGTGATGGAAGTCGGTCTGTAGTCGTTCCAAGTATGTCTTTCTGTTCACAATAGTTTAAATAAATTTTGCTGTTATTTTAGTGTTTGTTTAGAAATGTAATAAGCACACCTGGTCGTTTGTTTGAAAACTAAGCTGTTTGAATTATAGTTTAGTTGATTTGCCCATTCATGCTATAGTGTTTGCTTTTAAATGATTCAAATACTTTCCTTTTTGGGATTCGCCTGTCCCTGCATAAGATATCAGTCTAATTTTCCATAGACCCTCCTAAAACTAAGCTGTATTCATAGGGTGTCAAGTTTGTTAGGTAGCTTACGATAAGTACTTCTACTGTTCACGAAAACTGGGATGATGTTCTTGTAAGATAATGCACTGTTCTGTTTTTGGTGAAATTTGTGTAAACCTATTTTTGAATACATAAAATAAGGCAGACATTCTTGAATTATTTTAGGATATCGTCTCCATTTAGATCATATAATCTAACATCATTTTGGAAGACCCTATCGTATCGTCTTTAGAACTTTAAATCATCATGATTATAAGTTTTCAATAATTCACTGTAAGACATATTCTCAGCTACCTTACTGTTAACACCAATAAACAATTATCTGTAGAATTGTCATTTAAGTCTTGATACTAATGGAGTAATATATGTCGTATATTTTCCATGGCGTTGAATGGGCTCAACGTAGGACTCGAAAGGGGCGTGTCGTAAATATGTGTCAAGTGAGAGGATGTAAACATTTAGGTGGGTTAAAGTAAAGCGAGTTATCTTACGGTTTCACAGGCGAGAGTACTTCATTGATGCTAACGTTACAGATTCAATTTGGTAAGAGGTGATAGCCTGTCTGTCACTCACGTCCTAGGAGTGGAGTATACGTAGTTGATCCTGCTGTACTACAAATTACTAGTTAATATCTTCTGTTACTTTTTAAACAATTTTAACTATTTAAACCCTTAAGTTTCAAAACCAGTACTTATAAATATGCGTCAACTAAAACCTGAGTCGTTTTCTGTCTACGTAGGTCTCTAGGGATATTTGTATGAGTTAAATTTCTTCACTTAAGTTTATTATTTATTTAAACAAACATTTTACAATAACGCACCAAATATATGTGTGCCACACAAATGACTTCTGTGGGGGCTGGGAACCTTTGTGCCGAGGTGATTTAACCTGGTTCTTCTGTAAGATCGGAAAAAGATAAGAGCTGATTGTTTTTGGATTATATTTTTATATATAATTTAAAAAGTAGTGGTTTCTCACAGATATTTCCCATCATAATCATTGGGTTGCTATGTTTTTGTATTTTATCATTAGATAACGAATTGAGAAGATTCTCATCGAAATGTCATACAAACTAGTATTCTTATAAATGTGTCCTTACTGTTGAGGTTTATTGGAGACTATCATATTTCCTCTCGGTCCATATTCTATATTTAGAAGATTCAAATAATCTACTGTGGTCAGAGAATATTAGGAATCAGAGAAAGTAACAATAGTACGAGAAACTTGCTTTACGGACCGAGAGTTAATAGAAATTGATATTTATTGCAGTCCAGATCATTTTTGAAAAGGAATAACTCACGCCTATTACCCTTTGTAGAGCATAGGTCGCACTTGTTGTATGTGGGATAAAAGATCCATGTCATATGCAAAGTTCGAATCTTCCAGCTGCATCGAATCTCTCCACCGTATTTAGTGCTTCCGCTAAGATGTGGTTCTAATAATTCAGTCAACTGCCGCAAGAAAGTGAAGGGCGAAAGTAAACAGCCCTGTCTGACACCGGTCTTCACTTAAAATGTATCTGTGAGCTTACCTTCATACACGGCTTTGCTGTGTAGTCTGTTGTAAGGATTACATATGATGGTGACAATTTTCTCATGTACACCATAGTGTTGATGGTTCTATGAGGCCCAACTATCCACACTGTCAAACGCCTTATGGTTAAGGAAGTTGACGTATGGTGATAATTTTCATCCGCTTGATTGTTCAACAATGACCCATAGTGTTGCGATTTAGTCCGTAAATGATCGGTCTTTGGGAAAGTCATCTGGTTGAACTCACTATTGGCTGTTTACTTAATCCTCCATTCTGTTCATCAACACCTTGGAAGACTTTGCCAGGTACGGGTAGTATTTTGTTGCCTCTATAGTTTTCACGTTTGCTGAGATCCTTCTTCAGTATCTTAGTGAGGTATCCTTTCCAGTCTGTCAGTGCTTGTTCTTCCTTTTAAATCTTCCTTAATAGGACGTGGAGTATCTTTGCAGTTACTTCTATATTTGACTTCAACGCTTCTGTTTGTATGCCGTCTGATCGGGTTGCTTTGTCATTTCTGATTTGTTTGATGACTTCCATAGATTTTATGATCCTTTTACTGATGCTAGTGTGATCAATCTGGTTCTCTGTTGTGTGGTCCAGCGAAACCTGTATAACTTTGTGTATGCGTTCTTGAGGGAATGTGGTGTCACATTTAACCATGTCGTTGAAAGCACAGTGATTTACAAATATCTCATCATTTTTGATCCTTTCCTCAAGTTCATGTTGTTCCATGATATCTCCATACATCGTTCTGTCCAATTCAAACTTGACGTTTAGGTCTCCTATTAGTATTGGTGGGCCTCATGACTTCAGAAGAACCTCAGCTTTTGTCATGAGGCATCATAACTCGTCCAAATAAAGATCCTTAAACTCAGGGCAGAATATAGATAGTTAAAATGATTTTTCTACGGTTAGTGCTTTTTTGCAAGGTTTCTTCAAGGGACAGAGTTACTAACCCCCATACTTATTACTGATTTATCCGTGCTTAAGACCGGGAGTTCATTCCCGAGGTAGGCAATAGATGTATATTCGTCAGATAAAATTTATCCAATTGTTATAACTTGCGGCCGCCTGTATGCCCTGTTAATGTCATAATACCGCCAATTAGAGAGCTAAGAATTATCGATCAGAGCAATGACACGAAAACCATACGAGAAGTCTAGAGTACTTATCGGTCCTGCTTTCTGCCTAGCCCAACCAGTTAAGTCCACAACACCAATAACAGCCTCTACAATATGAATCCTTACATTTCAAATATACTGAGTTTATATACCAATCAAACAGACCACATCGTACCATAAAATAGGAAACAACATATGTACAAGATTCAGTCAAATGTGGCTGTGAATAAAGGAGATAGTAATTGATAAACAGGGAATAACTCAAGAATGGTAAATCGTATAACAATAGTCCATAGGTCAAAGTAAAGCTCCTAATAAGAGGGACATGAATATGAATAGTTTAGTTAATTTACAATTATACGATAAAAATGTACGCATACTATTGGCTCATAAATAGATCACAAAGTTACCGTTCATTACCCTTATCGGGGCATAATAATAATACTCGACATTTTCACTGATTCTTAGCAGGATGTTACATTTTATAATATCACAATTGAACTTCACATTTTTGATTTTAGTCACCAAGATATGATTTTATTCAAATCATTTACGTGGTAAACAATTTTTATTACACTATTTTTTAGCATCTCTTCCATGGTTTGAAGCATGGCGTTATCTGTTCATAACTAATTTACAGCCATTTGAACATGAATTTATCAGTCATAATCTAGCCTGTATATTTGTTTTGACAACTTCCCATCCTGATCCGATTCGCGGTTTTACTGAACTAACTCAAAGCCAGTCCAATCAACAACATCATATTCCAGGAAGTCGTCCGTTTTGGTTTACAGAAAATGTGCTTAAATTTTATGTATTACTACATGATGGTTCGTCGAATATCAAACAGAGCTGGTTAGTCAGTACTTTATTACCTATCTTTCTGTGTCGCCAAGTATTAACAAGGTGGATCGCGTATACCGTACTAAGAGGCCTCAAAGTATTAATGCATTCGGTAGACTTGACTGCTAAACTTTTGGCTTATACCATTACATTGTCTTCGTAACCATTTTTGTGGCGGATGCCGTTGGTGGTATGTACATACGTATAAATATTCTGTGAGTATTAACGATCGTTCACAAAGTCAACTAATGGTATAGGTCCCGCCATTTAATTCTACCAAGCGAAGTTTTTAAATTCATTGGAGAAATTGAGGCTTTCATTTTAGTCACGTATTAATCTAACTAATAGGAACCGAATTTACCGGTTGTTAAGTTTTCATTGGAGAATGGTTTTTTGAATTGAGTCAGTAGTTCTTATAATGAGCATGAATGAATGATGTGAATCAGTCGGCCAGTCAGTCAGTCATCATCAGGCAGCTATCATCTCGCGGATCCCAACCAGGTAGTCTACACCTACCAACATGGCTCAGTCTAACTGTCATTGACTTCATGGATTTGTGCTATGTTTTGGTCTGGCCGACCCTAGCTTTCTTCCAACCTACTCCTACACCATAAAACATTGCACGTCGGGCAGTCGGTGGTTGGGCATACGTAACACATGTCCCATCTATCTCAACTGATGAAGTTTCACTACTTCATCAATCGATTTGCCATCCTTACCTAGTACCCGTTTCCTAACAACTGCATTACTTACTCGGTGATCCCAGGATATACGAGCAATGCTTCGAAGACACCTATGATCGAATACTAGTAGCCTACGAATATCCTCTACTCTCACCGGCCATGTTTCACTGACATAAAGTAGGACGGAACGAACTTCTGCACAGTAAACCCTTCCTTTTGTTGCTAGACGAATATCTCGCCTACGCCATAAATGACGCAAGTTGGCGAAAGCTAGACGAGCCTTCTGTATCCGTGGTGAGATCTCGTCACACACCAGACCAAAAGGGCTGAATTACTTACTGTGTACCTGTTTTCCTACCTGTAATAAGCCTCTATGAGCTAGATAAGAAATTTGTTCCAAGCGAAATCCGACAGCCATAAAATGATTAGTGTACGTAGAACTTTAAAGAATGTGTTCAATATAGAAGCGACCTATTGTTTTTGAATCAATATGTGTGATTTTGGTCGTTTTGTCACCCGTGTATATAATTGTACTATGGTTTAGAACAATTGTACTCTGCCTTTGGTAAGTTGCAAGGACAGTATTGTTGCCTAGGGGAACGTGACAATCCTGATAAAAGTAGGGTCATATTTGTGTCTGTTTTTTATACTCATCAATTATTTTCCAACTATTAATAATAATACTGATATAGCAATTGAATTAAAATGTTTTCCTCTCCACGGTATACCAATCGTTTCTGCGATAATATGGTCAAAAGTCTAGACTGGGTGGCCGAATTTGTACTATAATTAGATTGGATACTCGAACGATACACTATGCAAAGACCAAATCATGTTATACCAGTTACCCGATTTACAACTAAAATATTGGACCAGAGTAAAACTAGGCAATACTTTATTCCACACCATTACAAGCAGTCACTCAGTGAGTTTGTTGTAAAAAATCAATGAGAGGAAAGAAAACCACATATTTGATGGTTAGTAAGCTGTATACCTGTTTTTCTACACAGTGACCAACTCAGAACCAAACTATTGCGAAAAATGTCACGTGACAGCTCATATAGTCGTGGTTATGGGGATGGAGATAAACTCCTCGTCTTTGACCCATTTAATTGTATCGTAGTCAGTAAATATGCATAGATCTTCGTTTATTTAGTCACTCAGTTGTAGATATTTTGGAATAACTTCAATTATAGGATCAATCGGAGGTACAACTTTTGCTGTTGTAATTTTTCTTTCATCATGACTGACTGCGCCGCAACATGATGAAGTGGTGTTTTTATTGTAGAAAACTCTACATTTCTCACGTAATTCAGCGAAAACTACAGAAAATGAGACACGCCCTCCATCATGGATTACGATAGTGTAACTAAGGATTTTTGCTTCATTTTGTTCGGCTGCCGGGTGAAAGGTTTTAATGGCGAACAAGAATGTAGTTTATCGTCACCCGGTTACAAAAGCATATCTGGATTAGAATTCATTAGGGCTTGTCTCATGGGAATAAGTTACTTTCACTTCCATTACAGTATTAAAATAGAATGAGATTTTCTACGAAACAACCATTCTTAGTACTAATAATGTCTATCAGAGGCTCTTTTTACCTTATTAGTCAAGCTAACTTCAGCATTAAGTATTTTGTCGGATCATTCGTCAACAAGTTCATGTGCTTTGCCGAATGGTAAAAATATTTATTGAATTACATTATCTATTTGGTGTAAAGAAACTACCAGTGTAGTGAACAAGGAAACGAGTGGGGACAATCGAATGTATTTCAGCACAAAATTACGGAATATCTCACTAAAATCTGACAACCATACAGTAAACAGTTAATTTGTAAACTATCAATCAATTGTCTCAATCTTATCCGTTCCTTCTGCAAATATCACTCCATTGTCTGCGATTATTATTGTACATGTATTTTCATACCAATTGCGTTTCGTTTCCGTTCTTCCGTTATCGATCTTCTACTGAAATACATTCAATGCCCGACCATCATTATCTACTACTTATATGCATATAAGTAGCCAACACCACACTAGCATCTGGCTAATGAACTCCATTATTCAATAACTACTTATAGGTGGTAGTTCAGTAATATTTAGCTATCGCAAGTGTTTACTTGTTTTAAATTGTTATTATATCGTAATTGATGTTGTGACCATTTTTTCTGTAAAACAAAACGAAAACTCTTCTAGTGTTGACGAAATATTCAACCAAGTGAAAACTACATTTGGTGCTCTCAACTGTCATTTGTTAACCATCTTCACTTCATCGTCTGGAAATGAACTATTAGGTAATAACAGTTGCGTACCAAATCACTTATTATTTAACAACCCTTATCAAGCTAATGGAATAATCAGTCGACCGAACACATCTACTATCGTCCATACATCAGAAAATGAACCGCACTCCGATCCTTGGCTGCATCATTTGCTACCACATGGCTATAGACCCCAGCTGGATCATAAATTATTTCCACCCAGAGATACATCGATAAAGTCGTGTGATAATCATATAACAAATGATAACAATGATCCATTGACAGTTGAAGACTCTAGGGAAGCGTGTAGCCAAGTATTTGGTAAGGAAACTGCAATTTTTGTATGATGATCGTAATTTCCTCATACATTTTTGAATATTGTTGCCGAAATCCTTGGTACAAGTGTCTATAAGTTCTTACTGGTGCTTTATTTGTTATTTTCTATTTAATACTTTCGTCCATCTGATATCTACGTTTCTTGTATTTGATTTCTCACATATACGAGTTTTATTGTATTTTAACATTTTGCATGTTTTTTTCCTCTTTGTTCATTGCACTATAAAGTATGATGACGTGAGTTATTGCACAGGTTTTCCAGGTCCTATGTCTCAGTTTAAATTCCTCCCATTGTTTTAGAGAGCCCTAACTTCCTAGATTCGTGAATAATATGGAGTCAGCAATTATGCATACCAGTGATGGAGTAAGTTGGGAGAAAGCTAGGGTCGGTGGCCAAATCAGAACACATCGGTTCATGTAGTAATTGGCTGTTAGCCTGTTTTACGTTGGCAGGTTCAGACTACCTATTTGGGCTCTGTACAGCATCAGGGACTATTGGTTCGAGAAATTGAATTTATTCTATGTAATACACATAAAATCTGGTACACCTAGGTACCATATGTAGAATACTCTGTACTAAATAAAGAGATAATGTGAAAAAGCTATGATAAAGTTTATACAATCGAAGAGAGGACAGAAAATAAATGTTCAAAAATTGTTATATAATGGAAGACACTGTTCAATTCAAGATACAGCTGAGATAACCTTTCAGTTAGGAGAGTTTAGCTTCCTATTTATGAAGACTGCGAAAGAAAACAACATCAGGTTCCTTACTGACTTCTGATCTGAACCCTTTTTTGATATCACCAGCCAATGAACTTCACTAACTCCAAAATACTAAACAGAGGATTAGTTACTGATGTGACAATCACGATTGTTTATTGATTGAATATGTGAAGGGTTTTTTGTGGATAATATAGTAATTTTAATAGTTGAGACAATGAGTCAATTGAATCTAGACCACCATGAAAAACCTGGAAGTACTGGACGGCCGTTTCGTCCTATTGTGGGACTCCTCAGCAATGCGCATCCACGATCCCGCCTCGCGAGATTCGAGTCCAGGACATATCAGTCTCGCGCGCGAGCGCCTAACCTCTAAACCACTGAGCTGGCATCCAACGGTATTCACGAAATTGAGCAACCGTCCACCATTGTCTTTACTGAGTTACTATCTCATAACAGACTCGGTTGAACTCCCGCGGTCACTACTGCTTCTCACTAGAACTCTGGGAAGTGCCTGTTGGAGCCAGTCACTAGTGAGCATATGATTATTATCATAAGAAATTATGAAAATACGGAGAAGGGGGGAGAGAAGAGTATGATCAAAGACAAATAAGTAAAAATAAACAAACAAAAAAGTGTATATGGAGATACAGTTTAATTGAAATTTTCTTTTAATTACTTATCTGTAATTTTTTAATCATAACAACTCCAATGTTCCCAGTAAATAGTTGCGATTTGAATTGAAAACCTAGTGAAAATTACCAAAATTAATTTTCTTGAATTGTGCTTTGCAGGAATTAGCGATTGTGGTTTTAGCTGCTATCTACAGGATCTTCATACTTTGTGAATATATTTCAATTAAGATTTTGTGGTTGTGGAATGCAAGTTGTTTGTTTTTTCTTTTTTGGACTTATCGGGTGGATCTTCGTAGTTTGTTCGTTCTTTTGTTCTTCATTGTGACATGAGTACGTTACTTGATAACCCATATTGTCATTCATTAGACTACTAAATTGTGATGACTGTGCTATGTCCTACCATTTTTATCGGGATAAAGCCTTAATAAAAGATCAAGGTTAAGGATCGTGATTGTTTTGGGATGGCTTCGTAAAGCACGATGAAGCCTTCAGGGGCTCTAAATGAGCTAAAAGTGTTCCATTCAATCAACGTGGCATGGCATGATTAAACAACTGCATAACTTTCCTACTTGCAGATTAGGTGGATTATAGTAATGTCATAGCCCATAGTAAAAAACTATAAATACCCCTATTTTTCTTTACGTTTTAGACTATTACCCAATAAGCACTTCCTCTGCTTCCTTGCGTCTTTTGATTTGCGGCTGTTGGGGTTCTATACGTTCGAGTGCTGATAGTTGTACACCGTATTCTGCTGTAATCAAGAAGACATAACGGGTGGTCCATTTTCAACCAATAAGGGCTGCGGGATGAATGGGAAAGTTACTGAAAGTCTTGTGTCTAAACCTTGCATAAACCCTGGCGTTTTCACTACACCAACTTTTGTTTGTCGCTTTGGAATATCTCTTTGTTTCCTTCCAATTTTCGTTTTGCTTCACGACAAGATGAGTGAAGTAATGTGTCCAAATAATACTAGGCGATAGCAGATATAACAACGGGTATCGGTTTTAATTAAAGTTTAAGTTTTTTCAGAACTAAAATGACTAGTCACTCATTCATTTATTTCAGTCAATTGTTTATATTTGTTTGATAAATTGATGACTGTGTTATCTGTTCTGATTCAATTAGTGTTTATTTTCTGTTTTTAGATGTTGGTAAAACACCACTTATTGATACATCTTGTTTACCTGCTTCAAGCATTAGCTCCCATTCATCGTATACATTTTTACCCAGTCGTTACAGCGAACCACATGGACAACATTTGACACAAGCTGATCGGGATCGTATACACATGTTTGTTTATGATTTTAGTGTACGGGCTCTTCTCCCTTGGGTAGAGAAAACAATGCGTAGTCTAAACGATCAGGTGATTTTGTTTGTACCTTCTATATATTTATATATATTATAGACATATTATTTAACGGATTCACATAAAATATAGTTTGTTCTAAGGGCTTAATTTTGTAAATAAATGTGTCTTGGTATCGTATGATCAGAAATTAGAGTCCACTGAGTCTTCTCACGTAAACTAGTCCGGGATTAAACCCGAGACTTTCAAGCCTTAAGGTTATCGTGATACCGTTTACTTCGTTCTTAAGAAAATTCCCCAGTCCATAATTAACAATTTCTGTGAATTTCTGACACAATGTAACCAACTTGATTGACACTGTTCGTCTCAATGTAAATATTAAAACCGGATTATCATGCTTTTAGACATGGGGAAATATCTGGAAATTGAGTAAATTTACTCATTATTGCATGTTTGGTCATATATCAGTATTTTCGATCGATACATTAGTACCTCATAGTAGCGGACCTTGTTTATCTATCACAATGATTTATTGTAGTCAAACTATAGGAAGCAATTGTATATTCTCAGTTTTTTTTGTATGACGATTCATCAGAAAAATGCAAATTCGAAGAGAACTAAAAAAGTTTTGATATGAAGTTTCATTAAAAGTGTTATATATCTATAGGGTTACTGAGTTTGTTTTAAGCATGATTGATTTTTTACAGTTAAATATAAGGTAAAGGAGTTTTATATCTCTGTAGCCCCCAAATGCCCTGGTACGGCCGAGAGTGGGGAGAGTCCGCTCTCCATCTCGAAATCCTCTCACATGGCCAGCGAATATATAGCCTCTACCAGGGAAGTCCTACTCACTGCCTTCTCGTGGCGGGGGTGTTGCTCACAAAAGTGAGAGGACGAAAAGCGAATGTCCGGCGCTTTAACCGGGTTGGTGGATGTTGAGAATGCACCTAGGGGAGTTGGAAAACCCTCATTCCAAACCAATGGTGCACATGGGCTCCAGTATCCTGAGGAAACAAATGGCGTATAAACCTATTGTTGGTGACCGGCTACCATTGGACTGCATCTCCTCACGATGCTCCACTGTCTTGTGGACCAGACCTTTAGGTGAAAGGCTCCGGGTGTGGCCCCCTGAGAAAACCACCTGCTTCAGTCTGGGCACCTGGGCAGTATCACAGCCCTCACACAAATCGAATGAGATTTGTGAGGCGCTTATATATCTGGTGCCCCTTTGTATCAATATTTATGTGTTTAAATAAATAAATCTCTGTAGCACAACAAGAAATTTCTTTCGAAACAATTCTGATAATGCTTTGAAGTAGATTCGATTACTTATTATGTTTAAATTGCTGTTGGCAGATGTGTTTGATCAACTTACTACTTGTCATTATTTGATTGACTTTCATAACAGATATAAACTATAAATGATATATAGGCATTTACAATATGTCCAGTTTTAGGACTTAACACATGTGCGTCATACCACACTATGTTATCACAGAGAGATAAATTTAATAAGATGGATGTCAAAGAATTTAGTTTTATAGTAATGTTTTAATGCTATAACCGAACATAAAAAACAATTTAGAAAGAGACAATCTAATAACGAGTTCGAAGCATGAAGTAAAATATAAGTCAAAATAAGTAGTAAATGCTGCTAGGCTAATACGACCTATTTTGAATTAGTTCACCTTATTTCATGTAGTTCTTATCATTTACGAATTAAAGAAAATAAGAGCAATCTGAATTTATTTCTTGGCTAACTGTAGAATTCGGGGTACGCGTTTGTCCTATTCGAGACTCGTCAGCTAGATGTACCTGCATCCTGCAGTTGATGTTTACTTTAATACTGAGTTCGTGTCCCGAAGTAAACATTGACGCAGGGATGCAGGTATATCCAGCTGATAAGACCCAAATAGAATGAAACATGCACCTTGAATTCCACTGGTAGCCACCGTCCATCTCTGCTTACAATGCTTGTGATTTAATGACAATATCGAGGTAGTCTGCACAGAATGTAAATATGCAAAAAAAGACTAATTAGTTGCAGTCCTATACATCAATGTGAAGATTTAAACGGTCAGTGTGTATGAATTAGACTTTCAACTTTTTATCAGTAAAATTTTGACTAAGACTGTGATTGACATGTAGATATAGCCCAATAAAAAGTAAATGAGTATAACGTAGTCAACAGAATTATTCATAAAATTGATAGTTATCGGTTAACTGTCTAAATCCCCTAGAAATGTGGACTAAGAAGAGCATTGAGATAAATTCTACAGAAAGAGGGTAATGTCGTAAGTTATGCAATAAAAAATACGAAAAAAGTTGAATAACTGTATAAAGCTTGAAAAAAAGTTAAAATGAGGATTTTGAAGAAAATGACGTTACATAATCAATTCTTGAAGTTATGGCTACAAAGGTAATGGAAAATTGACAACGTTATCATCATAAACTTGTCTATTCATTTACATGTATGTTTCAAAAGTACAATAAATTGAAAGAATACAAAGGAGAGTACCCTTTCACATTTAGTACATTTTACTAAGTTGAGATAGGTGTTAGAAATTGTAACTGCTTATCATTTACAGAATAATTATTGACCAAATAATTTAAATGGTACTAAGATTTACTGGTATGGAAACTCGAACTGATGTACGTACATACCAAGTTCTACGTTGTGACTGACTGACTAAAGTCAGCTTTCTCTTCTAGGATATTCATATGGCTAACATAATATAAAGGAACAACTTTATTAAATATGATTTAATTCTTGTATGATTGTCTTTTTATTAAACTAAATCTACATATCAATCCTAACTTTAATCAAGAGTTTGTTTTATTTAACAAAAAGTTCAATATTTGTTTATCTTGAATGATCATTATTATTGTTTTGGGGTTTTGAACAGCTAAAGAATATCTAAGAAACAAAATAAATTCATATTGTTCTGCCTAGATTATTGTTACTTTCGTCTTAGTTTAAGATCTATTAGTCGCATTTATCATGAGTACATCAACCACAAAGTCTGCATAGCAAATCCTAACAGGTACAAATGTCACTTTATCTGTTATGTCTATCGTCACGGTCATGTGATCATAAAGTAAATTAAGGATTCGTCTATTTCAGAGGCTTTTAATATGTATTTCTGTTATAACCCTCAAGGCCATCTCTTAGTGTTTTTCATCTCTATTTTTTTCTATCTCCCTTCCACTATCATCACCGCTCATAATCACTGAGTAGAAAGTTTGCCAGTTTATTTCTATGTTGCCTTTGGTTCTCACCGTGTTTCGGTATCTTTCATAGATCTAGTGGTTTTTCGACCTTTTGAATCCACACGATTCGCTATGTACTTAGGTAGTGTTTTCTAAAATATGATTTTACTTTTTCGTCCCAAAGGAGAACTTCAAAAGATCTTCCCGTTGTTACCTCTCTTCATCCGTTAAAACACAAATAAACACAACTTATTACTAGAGTTTTGACAGAGTACACTTGTTTACTTTTGGATGAGCAGTAGTCTTCTATCTAACCTAAAATGATATGATCTATTTGTGTCCATCATTTACTCAATTTTGGTTTGCTTCCAGGTAAAATTATGCCTCTTTGTCTCTATATTTAGTTTTTCATGGGAAGAAGGTGTTACCCAATCATAGTCATAACGGACGGGCTCTGTCATTTCACTGGGCTACGATGCCGAAAACTCACGTACCTTTTAACTCACATTATCTATCCAAACGTTAAAATCACTTACAACTGTTACCATACCTGAGTCTTTAGCTTTTTGGAGTAGGCCAATAAGCTTTTTGTAGAACTCTTCTTCAATGTCATCAGAGGTGCAGTTCTCTGTAGCCACCAAATAGATAACATGATATGTATTTATTCTTTTTGAGTTTTTACTGCCTTATTAAGTCCAAAGCCACACAAGATATTGGTTGTTAAAATTCAATTCGAGAGTACCTTAAAAATTAGTACTACACCTTCAAAAACAAGATAACGAGAAGTTTCGTTCAAGGATTTTAGATACGTGTGGGGTAAATCGTGCTAGTCCTTTATATTGACTAGGTGAGATCAGGTGAATGATTACACTTGCATGTAGGTTTTGGAGACGCAGTACAAGATTTGAGTGATTTTCATGGGGAGAAATTCTTAGCTCAATCAATTTGATATCTTCATACTTACAAAAGGAATTCGAAAGTAATGGAAAGAAATGAGGCTTTAAATGATGCGTATTGACATTCGAAATCAGTTAGTTAACGGTTCAGTAAATTAATATCACAAAAACGTAGTCAATTATTCAACTTTAGAAAAGTAACGTTTGTACTGTTTGTTGTTCAAACTCTAAAGCAATCCAAATGTTCATTTGGTTGAATGATAAGGTTTATTTCTATGTAGCGTGAAACATCTCAATAATCGTGAATAATATAAAACTGCCACTGATTATTAGATTTCACTGAAAACAGTCACTAGCATTTCAGTTCAGTGTTCATCTTCAAAAAACCATGATGAAAATAAATCACTAACCATAAAATAACTATATAATAAAATGCACATATAATACAAGTTTGTACATTATACTTTGTATTTCAACTCCATTTGTAGATTGCGCATCGAATGCGCCTTTCACGTTCTTTCTTTAATGCCACTAAGAAATTTTTTACTCAAGCTGTTGGTGGTGGTGGCGGCAGCAACAACACTACGGTTAATAGTACAAATAACTTAACAACTTCAAAAATATATTCTAATCCATCACCTATTGAAACGTCGGCGAACAATATAAGTAATCCATGTAGTCCAACAAATCCTGTTATTGTAAATAATTCAAAGGGAGAATTATCTACCAACACTACATTGACTCCTCAAAGTGTTTCATATGCATGCCCAGTCAATCACTCCACAATTGTGTATAACCAAGATTCACCTGAATCACAAATGCGTCGTCTAGCTGATTTAGCATTTCTGTTTCAGCAATATGAAGTAGCCTATCAGACGTATAATGTATTAAAACGTGATTTTCAAAATGATTCAGCTTGGTTAAACTATGCTGGAGCTCAGGTGATTTGTGTTGATTATTTTTTTCATCTTTTTATCATTTTTGTGTGAAAGCAAACTCAATAAATTTCAGCGTTGTGTAATTTCCTAAAGGATATTCCATCCAAATTTCTTTTAGCTCAGTACCATCAAAATTATACATAGTGTATTCTTTGTCCAAAGCTTTTGAATAAGACAAATCAACAAGACGTTTGACGTATTTGTGTATTAATCACTTATTTATAAAGCGAATACTAATGGAACGACTGCTTAATTTGGTAAAGAATAATCCTCGACCAAATATTAAATCTGATAGAATACTAAAACTTTAGCATCGCTATTTACCCCATTATTCTGTTTGATAGTTTTCACTCCGATGTGAATTGAGGTAATTACAAACTTCAACAGCATGTTGTGTGGTTAATCGTATTAAACGTTGTTATAAGTGGACGTAACTTATCGTCCAACAATAGATTATGTTTTTGGAATGATTATAGGACTTTGAAAACGACTAGAGAAAGGTGATATGCACTTTTCGATTAACTATTTTTTCCCCTGAATTATAACACTGAGCTATATTGCTCAATTATAATAAGTAGTGTGGGTTGTGTTTGACGTTTTTTTAATGTATATGTTTTACTGAATAACATCACGTTTATTGACCTTATTTCTGATCGTTTAGCTAACATAACATATATCCATTATAGAAACTGGAAGTTTAGTTAATGCTAGGACGTTTAGTGGTGTATAAAAAATTGATGATCAGATACATCTGAGCCATTAAAAAAAACCTTGAAGTGAAACTTTATGAGCTTCTGGTCATCAAATCTGATCGTTTTGTGGATTCTAATCAGATAGTTTATGTGAGGATGGTCCACAGGTGAAGTCGAGGAGGCTCTAAGGAGCCCGACATGTTCCATCCAATCAGCTGTTGGAAGAATATTCCAGAATTGCCACGTGGAGCTTCCCTATTGGACAATGCTGATAACCCCCTGTCTGCGGATTGGATAACTATAATGATGATTTTGTTTCTACTAAAAACTATAAATACCTGATAATTTTGTACCATAATCGACACTGTTTGGAATATCATTCCTTCTACTTGTCTTCTGTCTTTTGATTTTGACTTGGGAGGGTTCCAGCGTTCGAGTGCTCAAGTATTGTGCGATAGACTAAGAAATCTAAGTTCGAGATACAATAGTTTATTTTCATAAATAGTTACGTAGTTCGAAATCGTGTATTGATCTTCCAATTATCAAGTTCTCCTAACAAATTTACTTCAACCAACATACCACCTTTTAGTATGTGAATTATGAACTCGTAAAACATTGTCATATACTTTATCGCTCGTGACAGTTTAGAAGTTAAATGAAGTCATTAATTTATGCAACTGCGTCATTACTCGTTCAGTACTGTTGTATGAAATTCCTGTGGTGCTCTGATGATATCCTCTACCTGTTTTCGCACTTTTAAATAAGTGAATACGGTTTTTGATCTTTCATAGTTTGTTTATTTCTGTTTATTTAACATTCTAGGAAATGTCTGCCTTATCCGTTTATCTTCAAGGTGCGACAAGCCAACGTCAATACCCATATCATCTCATGGATTCAGCTGTAGCTACTTACCTTCAATCACATTTGTAAGTTTTGATTGACTTCCTCAATTAGTTTGATGTATTCCTATCGTAATTTTATAACAATGAGCCATGTATCTCTTATTTTACACAGATTTCAAACTACTCTTATTACGTGAATATTTAAAATTCACTTTGTTTTTATGAAAATATAAAGAAACTTTATTGAAAGACAAATCTGACACTCAATAGTTAGAAGTTGAGTATTTGGAATTTCGGATATAGGACATACGTGTATCACGGAGAAATCTAGACTATGTTATATGGTTTAAAATGTTTTGTGTCATAGATTAGTTTAAAATTTAGAATCACTGAAAATGGGAAGATCGGTGTACGTAGTTCCAAACCATTGGTATTCGGTAGCAAATTTTTTTTATTCCAAAAGATTGTTACCTTAGTGATTGTGACTAAATAGCTCCCGACAGGGATGAATTTACCACGATAAAGATAATTCGTCAGAAAACGAATGGGTGGTAATAATGTTTATGTGATTTTTACGGTTTACCAATTGTTTAGTGATTTTAACTTATCAGAACCATTTGGCTTCGTGGCCTCAATTTAATCGACTAAAGCTGTCCTTTGGATTTAATGTTACTTATTTGGTCAGAAACATTTGGAAAAAGGCCACTTCAACTCTCGGCAAAGTTAAAGGCGCTTTCAATAGAGCCAAGAGGTTCGGGTTGTTAATTAGTTCTTTTCAAGTGGGCATCCATTTGATATATGAACGGTGTAATTCGCCTTATTTGGGACTCAAGGCAAATGTTCCAAAAGAAACTTATCAATTATAGTCCTATAGCTCAGTAGGGAGATTTAAACAAAAAATGTAATTGTATTGATTCCAAGTTTGTTCATTCATCACATATAGATTGAATGAAGATTTTATCCCATACTAACAATCTGGCTATTATAGTATCAATGTTCTTTCTTGAAGTATATAGGATATTTAACGTGAAGTATATTTCTTTCAGGTATATATATATATATATATATATATATATATATATATATATATATAATTATGTTATGTGTATGTACATTCAGATCACCAGAACTTGCTTTACGATCAACTCTGTTAAATTTTGAAGCATTATGTAGTCGTGGTCTCTATAATGAAGCTGCTGTGGCACTAATTCGATTAACTTCAGACGTAAGTGAAGGAATTTGAGTAAATAATCATTTCATAAATAATCCTTCTGTAGTTTTCTGATCTATGCATGATCCAAAAACAGCAAACTTTCATGAATAATCAATGTTTTCAAAACTGAATATTATTTGAGCGAACGGCTGTTTTGAATAACATCATCACCAGGCTCTACAGTTATAAGTTCATAATTCTGATATTATTATTATTATTATTATTATTATTATTATTATTATTATCGACTCCATCAAACCAAACTTATGTATTCAGGAAAGGTATATCCAGCCTCTATGTTTACCTTTGAGTACGACTGGATCACCAGATACCTAAACTAAATATTATAAATCTCCTACCCCTCCTTTTTTTGTTGATTACCCCTGTCTTACTCTTCACATCCATCATTCCCAATTCGTTAATGGTAATTACCTTGATGACACCCTTGTTATTACATATTATATTCACACAACCATATTACTATTGTTATTATTACCGTTACTATTATCATTATTATCTCAAATGACAAAATGAAATCCTCCTACTATGTTTTTTATTTACACCATTTTTTTTGTTTTGCATTTTCATTTTTGCCATAATACTATTCTGCTGATTGTGACTGGATTCTTTACTCCAAATCATCCTGACCTTTATAAATTACTTTTCTAATTTGCAAATAACACAATTCAGATTAAGCATATATTATTCATCTAAGCAGAATGTGTATTTTTGTATTATGACAAATGTAGATGGTGGGAAAATATGGATGACAATTCAGATATCTGATTATCAGGAAACACCAGTTAGTGTGTCATGATGACCCGACCGAGCTATATTGGCTGGAATACTTGTTTCTTTAGGTCATACTGTTCTAGAAACGTCGTTTAAGGACCAGTAAGACTAAAAGTAGCAAGTGAAAGTCTTGGGGTGGAGTCATGCTGTCTAGTGTACTAGGGAATGACTGAAGTAGAGTGCTTTCCTCATATTATCAAAGTTTGCAACGATGCCACCTTTTTTATAAGGTGGAGGAAGTTAGAATCGGTTGTCTTTAAATATAGCATACTCCACCTTACCACACAAATTTCCCTCATCGACGGTAATATATGAAATGTACTGGGCTAACATACGTAACATTACTCACAAAAGACTGTATGTGATTGACCTCAAGTACTTATTCCTTAGACTTTGTAGATGCTAAAGATATTTATTGGTTGATACGGTTATAAAACGTGTTACGCATGTGTATGCACCATCTAATCCTACATCCGATCATGTGTGATGTAGAACTAGATTGTCTAAAACGCTAAGAACCCATATTTCAAGTCATAGTATAAACCCATGAAGTCATTGTCTACTGATCTGAACTATGTCGTTAAGTGCAATTATCGTAGTTTGAGGCTAATGAAATGTTTACATTTATAGTTGGACACGCTAATTGACTAAATAACACAAAAAATTTTCCATTGGCACAGTGGTTTTAATTTTACATCTTAAGTTTAATGTCATTCCCATCTTTCCATTCTTCAATTCTAATTGTTCTTTTCCAACTGTAACATACCTCATATGTAAACTGTAATTCCATTCAATTACTTCTCATCTTGTTAGTTTCCTCTATGCGCTGATGTGAATTAATGCAAATAATATGGCATATATATATATATATATATATATATATATATATATATTCTAGCCATGTGTTACATCGTTGTTAACTGGCTAATTGTTTGACTGATCTATTCATTGTATTTATAATCATTAAATAGTAGCTATTTCTGAAATCTATACACCTACCTCCAAGTTAAAATCAAAGCAATTGAATGATTAATGTTTGTTCAATCAACAAAAATGTATGATTAGTTCATAATTAATCATAGCTTCATTTCACTCTGCATCAGTATGAAATTAGTCCTCTTTCATCGATTTGTACTGAGCTAAAAAGTTAGGTCTTTTTCGTGAATTTGTTTAGTCTTCTATTATTTTTGTTGATATAGGTTTATACATTTTCGTTGAACTATCAATTCAACCGTCTTCTGTTGAAAAGAACTATTCCCACTAGCCGAATGCTACTTTCTTTTGCTAATTCATTCGGTTATATGTTGATACAAGTTGTTTCTCAAGCGCTGACATGATTGATAATGTTTTAATTGCAATGTCATGGGTAGATATTTTATTTTTTCATAGTCATGTGCATATTAAATCACTGAAAGGCAACAACCATTGTTGTTATTAACGCTTCGTAATACAAAGTCATACCGTTGTACCGTTAGTTGACTTTCTCTATTGAATATCCATCTGTTTTTTTCAATTGTCAGAACTTTCAGTATTGCTTTGATGTAATTCTATTTTATTTAGGAAGATGATCTTATCAGCGGTCTCCTTATAGAACAAGTAGCTCATTGTGTCCTATCACTGAAACGTCCAATGTTAAGAAAGTTTGCATTTCGTATGGCATTGGCAGCACATCGATATGCCCGAGCCAAACAGGTTATTTATGATATTTCTATTATGATTGTATTGTACAAATTAATTTTTTTATATCTGAGATAATTTTTTCTTATATTACGTGGTCTCCAAAACTCCTGATTAACTGGTTAAATCTCATTACTAACACGTGATATTCCGTATTTGGTTGCCAGCTACATTGAGGAGTTGAAATCTTTCTTCTTTCCAGTTGAGCTACATAACTGAGAGGATGTCGTAGAACACTATCGATTTTGCTAAAAGGGTACTTATTGCATGTTTTATTCAGTTACGATTTACATTCGTCGTTTTCATTTCAATAATCATTATCGTTACCAGAAATATTATTGCTTTTACGGGACTTCACAGTAAGTATGAAGCTAATCAATGGGAATGTTCAGTTCACTATTATTCATTTATTTTTAACTATTCGTAATTTGGTCACTAGTTTGATCAACACTTAGCTTATTACATTTTGTATAAGCTGATTTGGTATGCTCAAGTTCATTGACTGTCCAAACGACTTATTTATTTACGTCTGTTACCCTTGATGAAGGAGCGTTGGTCGCTCACCAACACTCTCCATCGAACCCTGTCCTAGGCAATTCTTTCCAATTCTCCCAGTTGCTATTCATCCTTTTCATGTCTGCTTCCGATTCCCGATGCAGTGTGTTCTTTGGCCTTCTTCTTTTCCGTTTCCCTTCAGGATTCCAAGTTAGCGCTTGCTTCGTGATGCAGTTTGGTGATTTCCTCAATGTGTGTGAGCTATCCACATCCATCGTCTTTTTCTAATTTCCTCTTCAGATGGAAGCTTGTTTGTTCTCTCCCATAATAGGCTGTTACTGATGGTCTCCGGCCAACGGACATTGAGTATCTTACGTAGACAATTGTTTATAAATACTTATACCTTTTTGATGATGGTTGTAGTAGTTCTCCAAGTTTCATCTTCGTACAATAGAGCTGATTTGACGTTGGTATTGAAAATTCTCACTTTGATGTCTCCTATCAGGATGGTGAGGTCGTTTCCTGATCACTTCGCTATCACTAGTTGCAGCCTTTCATATAACTGATTTTAATGGTTGTCTTTGCTATCATTGGTTTGTGCATAACTTGGGATAAAATTCAGTGTAATTCCCTTCTTTGTTTTGAATGATGCTTTGATTATCCTGAATCCGTGAAATTCCCATCCTGTAAGTGCATAACGTGTTTGTTTGGACAGCATCAGAACAACTCCGTGAGTGTGTGGAGCATTTTCCGCTTTGTGACCGGAGTACAGTTGCATCTCTCCTTATCTAGCCTTTGCTGTCCAGCTTGTGTCCAATAGTTTTCGCTGATTTTGAGTACTGCCATGTTGTATCTCCTCCTCCTGGTCTGCCAGATTGTCCGGACGTTCCATGATGCTCTGGTTGTTAGAAGTGGTGTTTCGGCCACTTGACTTTTGAAGAATTTTGTCTATCGTGATTAGACGTCACAATTGTTTTGAATGAATATCCTTCAAATCTCAGGATAGCGTTTAAATGGTTTGAATTGTTTGTTCTGGTTAGCGTTTTATTTTAACAAGTTTGTTTTTTACGGTATGTGGTTGCCGACCCCATGCCCAACCCTCCTCTTTGACGCATGCTTGGAATCGGTAATAACCGTTTAAGGTCCACATGAGTTGTCCAAATTAATACTAGATAAGATTCATGTTAGCTACTTACGTTGTTAAATATATCATATTAATCTATCGATATTTCAAAAATTGTTTTTCTTCAACTTTTCCTTCCACCCCGAAATTTTAAATTATTTAGCCGATTTTGGCAATACGAAGTTACAAATCAACTATGCCAATTGTTATGGGTCATGGATGGAGTTTATTAGAGGTATATTTAGAGTATACGCTTTTTTAAATGCTGTGTTTTATCTTTTAAATCTGGTAAACTTATTTTCCCATGATAGAGGGTGAAGATTTTCGAATTGTCATATTATGCGAGCTTGATAGTATAATCATGATCATCCAACCTAGAGGGAAGTGTTATATCTCGAACTTCGATTTCTTAGTCTATCGCACAATACTTTAGCAGTCGAACGCTAGAACCCTCCCAAGTCACAAATCAGAAGACAGAATACAAGTAGAAGGAATGATATTCCAAACAGTGTCGATTATGGTATGAAATTGTCAGATATTTATAGTTTTTAGTAGAAACGAAATCATCATTATAGTTATCCAATCCGGCACACAGAAAGTTATCATCATTGTCCAATAGGGGAGCTACATGTAGTGATTCTAGAATATTCTTCTCAATGCTGATTGATTGGAATATGTCGGGCTCTTTCTGGGCTTCTTAGAGCTTCCTTGACTTCACCTGTGAACCATCCTCACAGAAACACAGTCAACCTAAAAAAATGTACTTTCATAATTTTCAGTCGTGCTTTTTTTTTCGTCAGCAGCAACAAATTTATTATCTTCATAGATGATTTTCTACCACCAATTCGCAACGTCTCTTTTCAAACGTGTTATTCAGTGTATATTTGTGAAGAGAAAGAGCTATGATTCAATGAATGAAGTACTTAACGTTAAATTAATAAATTTCAACACAAGACGTTTTAATTGATGATTAATAATGATTAAAATCCTTCATGTTTATCCTGCTCTTATCAACGATAGTGTAGTATACAAGATTGTGTAAACTTGCTGTAATTCAGTGATTCAAAACTTTGCTATCTCTTTATTTGAGACTGAATTATATCACGACATCTGAGCAATTGACTTACATCCTGACAAGAACAACAATAATATTGATTATCTTGGTATAATTTCATCAGTAACTGACTTTGATTATTTACGTGTTTAGTCTATCTTATTTGTTTTATTTTATACTCAATCCCTTCTATCAGGATCATATAAATTTCAGTGTCGGTAAACAAGCTTATCTTATTGGAGATTTAACTACATCTTGTAAAGCTTTAGCAGAAACATTGAAATCATCTAGTCGACAGTCTGCAGAACGTCAATTGATATTTGTTAAAGAATATTTATCAACATTAACAGTAAGTAAATTATGTTGTACATTGTTTTTTCTCCTCAGTTTCATCTTACTCTTTTGAATAATATGTTCATATATATATATATATATTGACGATTCACATCAAGTACACTTTGTTAAAATGTTCACAGCCAACAGTTGAAGACAATCTATTCATTTGATGTTTATTCTATTTTGATGAATACACAATAAGTATTGTATTGTTTTAATCTGTGTTTCCATTTAATACGTTAATAGTAACCTTGTTCATCTTAATTAGTATACAATTTAGTTGACTTAATTAGATTAGAGTAAATATGATTTTGATTAAATATTTTATCACAATAAAACTCACTTATATGGAGTTATATTTAATTCTGCTACCTTGTAGTTTATGCTTAAACGAGTTAATATGGGACTGAGGAAGTAAACTTAATTTACTTCATGTATACATCTTTTGTGAATGGTTTTTTTTGTGTGTTGGGGATGTTAAATCCCCAGAACTTACTTAGTAAATGACTTATTTTTGTAATTTTATTTTGAAAATTCGAATTTTCTTGTTTTCGAACCAAAAGCGCTCCTTTCACCTTCGAGTCGTATTTCCCACTTGGAAATACCTTAAACGTTATTGGTCCGTTGTATCTTTTTAGTGTGCCATTTTGTAATGCTTCCCAAGGACAACTTTATACTGTATATATACCTTTGATTTCCTATTATGATTGCTTGTACTTCGGCTGCTTACGGAATATATTTTCCCCTACTTCGTCTTGGACTTCTTCCTCTAGTTAGCGGGGCCTGGGAAAACGGATTAGATTAGCCTATCGTGTCACTGTGTCATTGACTTTCGTTCGTTTACGGAGAATCGTAATCGGCATCAAGCATATCATTTTGATAAATATCATCTTCCATCTTTTATCAAAAATAACGAACACGTACTGTGAATAATAATATCATTTCAATACAATGAACTATTGAATAAGCTTCTCATCAGCTGATATATAAAACTTTAACGATATACTCAGATGTTTTCGTTTGCAAATCAAACAAATCATCATCATCATCTCTTCATTAAGTATTTGATTATGTAACAGGCAACTTTTTTTAAAGGTTTGAATGAAAAATTCTGTTCTTTGGCTATTTCTATTATTTGGTGATTCCAGTCCAAATATACAATAAAAATGAACGTATAAAACAATTGAACTTTGAAAATTTAATCTATGAAGTATATAATGTCTTTATAAGATTAAAGGCAATTCATTATCTCTATTGTTATTCAGGTTATTAAACTGTTGCAATCTACATCACGTTCGAATTATGAAATTATTCAGTAGTTCTCATCTTATCTCTCCTTTTTATGATTGACCGTATATTTACCATTGTGGCTTGTGCTACTTATGTCGACATGAGTAGTATATAATGATAGTCAGAATCAGAAGGTCGAGAAGGAAACAACGGGAACAGAAAGCATTTGATATGAAATTGCAGGAACAATGAAGTCTGAAACCATTGACTGATATTTGCAAAAGGAACAGTCAAGTATGAGAAAATTGATTGATATTTTGCAAATGAAGTATTTACTGTAGGATTCTCAGATTTTACTAAGATATTCTATAATTTTGTATTCAAATACATTCGATTGTCCCCACTTGTGTTCTCGTTCACTACACCACTATTTTATATATTTGATTTCCCTCATATTCCTAGTGAATTGAATTTTAACAATTATAATCTGTTGAATTATCTCTCCGGATCAAGTCGAAGTGTTTATGTTATTAGATATCAATATTGATGGTTTAACATTTGTCACTATGATATCTATTTCATTATTTCTGTTTTGAATGTACTGCTTATCAGTTTTAAATGTCAACGTAATTATATTAGAATTCCATATTCTACTTGTTTTTTTTCTTTATAAAAAAAATCTATTTTCAGAAATTTTTATCTACTAATCATGATAAAGAGCAAACTTCTTTGCCAGAATTCCCTCTACCAATTATTGATCTTCACAATTTTAAGATCATAATTGGTAAACCATCGCAACGACATCAACAACAAGCTGGTAAATAAAATGATTATTTGGTTGTTTAATATTATTCACATTCAATTGACTAATCTTTTGTTCTATATTTTAATTTACTACTAATTATAGTTAATGCTAGGCACTGTCGATAATTCTATGTTCCAGAATCTTTTCAGGATTGAAATTTAATCTCATGAACAACTTGATATTGGTTATCTTCTTATATTAATATCAGAATTAGGAATTAATGATTGATGAACTTGTTTTTGAAAGTGTTACCTGTACTCATTTTTAATTAGCTATAAAATGTGCATCTTTGTAATCTGTTTAGTTCAAATTGAAACAGCATAAATTGCTAAGAATTTGCGCTATTACATTTGAATTATATTTATGTCTGATTGTTCTATCCGATTTTTGATATAAAATAAAAAAAGACTGGACATTTATTCTCTTTGAATACCCTACTATATTCTTGTTAGTGAATATATATCAGGATCAATTAATTTTCGATCAAGATTAAATGAAATTAAAATTGTTAGTTATTATGACAATAGAAATTATATGTATGTTATTAAAAAAGAATTGTGAAAAAATTGTTAACCGTTTTTAATCGTTTATAAGTGAAGTTGAGAAGTAGTCTAATATACAATTTAAAGCAATTAGTCCCTTTGATAAATTTCGATAATGCAATGAGAAGACGAAGATTATCAGAACTATGTGATGGGATATTAGCGCAATACATTTCGAACAATCTGATCACACATATACTTGTTAAGAACATTTATATATAAAAATAAAAGGTCAACTAGACTGGAAATAGGGGTATTCAAAAACAGTTTGTCCTCTCTTTAAACCTACCCTGGTAATATTACCTTATTATCCAGAGTGATTAGGTGTCAAATTGTTTTCACATTATTTTTATTATTATTATCCTTGTCTATTTCTTAACCTTATTACCCGTCTAGTTGACCTTTTATTTTTATATATAAATGTTCTTAACAAGTATACTATATGTGATCGGATTGTTCGAAATGTATTGCGCTAATATCCCATCACATAGTTCTGATAATCTTCGTCTTCTCATTGCATTATGGTAATATACAATTAATAAATAAATGATCATCTAAGTATTTCCATTAGTTTTTATTTTAAAACATGATTATGTTAAATTAATAAATGTTGAATACATACAAATAAATCATGATTATAAAATAATGAATGGGGTATGCATAAATTATGCTAAAATTGTAAAGGATCTATAAATGAAGCAACTTTTACGCTATTTCAAATTAGTAAGAATTTCACAGAAAAAAACAAACAAAACAAACAAATAAACTTTATCACTGGATTATTTTGCAAAGAGTAATCCTTGATACCAAAAAAAAGTTGTTTAGTTTAGCTTTAAGAGGCGTATCATAAATAAACGCAAAATTGTTATTGCATTTAGTTGTTGTTGTTGTTGTTTATTCATTAAAGGCATCAATTACTTTTTTATCTGTACACATTCTTTGTAGTTAACCAGTTATTAATGATGTCATTTTTCTATTCCATTTTATCCTTGAAACTTCTCTCAGATCTAGTTTTTATTACTGCATCTTGTTTTGTAGAATTAGATTATATCCAATCTTTGTGTGATCATAAGTTAAGTTGCTCAGATTAACTAAGTGGTTAAAGTGTATTACAAGGCGTTTATATAGTTAATAAGTAAGTTAACTAATCTCCAACCTAAATTGATAGCTCACAGTGTATTTCAGAAATCTAGACATGATTGTTGTCAGTGAAGTCACAGTTATCGGAATTAAGTTTGCCAGGTTTACATGGAACAAAATTTTTTTTAGTTATACCTTCATTCAATGGGTATTTTACATTAATTCTGATAGTAAATAGACACAAGTTTATTAACAATAATAATCTTTGTCTATTATAGATAATTATAATCAAGCAAATTTACATTCCGGTAAGATATCTAGCTTTTGTATGTGTGTGTGTGTGTGTTTCTGTATTCACCCCATTTATTATTATTATTATTAATTTAATATTCGTCTATACTCAACTAAATTTATTCACAATTGCACCTATGCTTCATTCTTAAAAATCAAATGTTTGCTTGCACGGGATCTGTGTGAAAACACTTCACGAAATTCCATTTGCTTGTTATGCCGATTTTAATTCTGTGAATTTTTTTGTTTTTCTGCTAATAAAATTCATTACATGGTACTTTTTTGTTTGGTAAACGTTTCAATTACTATTTCACACACACACACACACAAAATCATTAACAGTAAAAAAAAGAAAACAAATTTTCTTGTCAGTAGCCTTTTCATGGTTTATTTTAACAGGATACAAACTTTTGATTAAAATATATTATCAGAAAGGGTTTGGTGGAGATTTTAGTAACTTTATAGATTTGACATCATGAGGCAATTGAAGCTAGAGCACCATGGAAAATATGAAAGCACTGTTTGACGGCCGTTTCGTCATATTGTGAGACTACACAGCGTTGCGCATTCACAATCCCTCCTCTCGAGATTCAAAGCCAGGACCTATTAGTTCCGCGAGCGAGCGCTTAACTACTACATCAAACAGCCGGCCAGCATCCAATGGTGTTAATGTCTAACTTCAACCAATCCACGAAATTGAGCAACCGATCACCAATGTCTTCAGTGAGTTGATATCTCTACAACGGACTTGGTAGAACTCCACTGGCCACTGCTTCCCACTAGAACTCCAGGAAATACCCCATCGAGTCAGTCACTAGTGAGCACATGGTGTGAGACTGGTAAGTCTTGGGTTCGAATCTCGCGAGGCGGGATCGTGGATGCACACTGTTGAGGAGTCCTACAATAAAACGAAACGACCGTCCAGTGCTTCCAGGTTTTCCATGGTGGTCTAGCTTCGATTGACTCATGATCTCAACTCTATAAAATATATTGATCAATTTTATGATTTCTTTCTAATTTATCTGCTCAAATCTTCACAATTTATTTTATTGTTACTCATATATGCAACATGTTCTGTATCGTTTTATGTATATTAAGATTTTATTTAGTCTTAGTTTTTTTTATTCATTTCAAGTAATAACACGTTAACCGGCTCAGCACTCCATAAACAGAAAACAAAAATACTAGAGATGCTTTCGTTTGTAAAATGACTAAATTGTTTGGAAAGAACAATAGGCTTTTTCTTAAATTGTATTGCGTTGGTTTTCTTGTGTAATCGAACCAATCAGAAGACGATGACTAGATGCCAAACAATTCTTGATTGTACTTTATTCAATTACGACTTAACATTCATGCAATAATATAATTTAGATATTTGATTACACAGCAACATATTTAGAAAATTACAATGTGTATTTAACTTAATAATTAATAATAATACAAAACTAGAGTATTAGGGAGTAATAGGATATGTGACAACGATTTATAGATTAAACGAGAATCTCGGAAATAGGTTGTTGCGTGTTCGCTAGTCGGGATCGCCGATTATGTAACTTAAATCTGATTCCTTTTGGATCGTACGTACTGTCTATCCTTGTATGTAATAAATGACTTTATCCGCGTTAGTGAATGACGGAGTTAATTAAGTCAAATACGAGAATGGATTTAGAATACATATAATTTCTACACTCATTGGTCTGGTCAGGGAATCAGAGTGATGAACCAAATAGATGACAGCGGAACGAAGCAAAAATGATGCGTATTGGAGATGGCGGGGAAGCCAACTCAGTATGAGAAAGTATTACTCAATATTTATAATCAGACAAAAATGTATGACGGACATATGATGAATAAGATACGAAGTGTGCATACACATACGCTCATATAAAAAAGTAGTCAAGGTTAATAAGCGAGTAATTAACGAGATCAAAATATGACTCAATGTATAGGTGAATTGGCTTGGCCAGAAGGTATAATAAATTATATGAGCTTAACATGTAAACCGATACTACAAGGTGAATATAAAAACAGAAATCTGAGTGTCTATTGGTGATACAATAAAAATGCAAACAATAGTACTTCTTGTTATAGTTTCAAAACCTATACTTCTGCAATACTCGTTTCATTATATCTCTGGCGTATTAGAAAACTAAGCTAAGCCAATCACAATTTCTGCTCTTCACGAAATTTAATCGCTTTTTGATACTTCTCCAAATTTCCTAAATAAAAATTTGTTTAATATACAGCGGGGATTATTAAACGATGTGTTCAGTTGCTCATTGTAGGATGTGTTTCCAAGTGAAAATAAATGTGACCAATAATGCAATAAATTAATAATGAAGCAACAAGTACAGTGAGCACACTTCTTGTATTATCATTCACCCCCAAATGCTCTGGTACGGCCGAGAGTGAGGAGAGTCCGCTCTCCATCTCGAAATCCTCTCACATGGCCACGCGAATATATAGCCTCTGCCAGGGAAGTCCTACTCCCTGCCTTCTCGTGGCGGGGGTGTTGCTCACAAAAGTGAGAGGACGAAAAGCGAATGTCCGGCGCTTTAACCGGGTTGGTGTATGTGGAGGATGCACCTAGGGGAGTTGGAAAACCCTGATTCTAAACGAATGGTGCACATGGGCTCCAGTATCCTGAGGGAATAAATGACGTATGAATCAATCGTTGGTGACCGGCTACCATGGGACTGCATCTCCTTACGATGCTCCACTGCCTTGTGGATCAGATCTTTGGGTGAAGGGCAGAGGGTGTTGCCCCTTAAGCAAACCACCTGCTTCAGTTTGGGCACCTGGGCAGTATCACAGACCTCACACAAATAGAATGAGATTTGTGTGGCACATATTTATCTGGTGCTTCCTTGTACCAATATTTATGTGTTTAAATAAATAAATATTATCATTCATTGTAAGTCATATTACCTATCGTCAACCAAGTATTTCCCATTATTCGTACTTTTACAGTATGGAAATCTATCTGTTCCTACTCAACACTGACTAATAATTCACAATTTTCTTTACTTCTGTTAAGTCTAAGTCATGCTGATTCATTTCGAAATCGATCGAGCTATGCCTCATTTAATATTGTACAACTAACTGGTAGAAGGTGACATGCCCGTAAACTATCACATATTCTATTCATCTTTCTTAATAAAAATTTTTTGGTCACAAATTATTAACTATTGAAAGCCTGATCAGCATAATCTTCTTACCATAGACTATTATGACAGTTGAGAATATATGATCTTTCATTTCAATAAGCATATAATTAAGCCTTCTACTTATATTTCATCTAGTCTATTTGAGTGGCTAATGAATGAAGTTTTATATAATTTACACCTTATAGTCATTCTTATCATTATTCCATATTTATTTTCACAGTAAGCCAATGTGATAGTACTTTGCTAATGTATATTTCTATCTTTATGAAACTATTATTACTTCGTTTCCATCTTATTGTTTAAAGATCTATTCGTTGAAGCTCGTGGTGTACAATTTTCGGATACTGAAGAAGATGAAATAGTGAATGAAGATACTGGTGACGAATTACCACCTTCATCAATGTCACAAGTCATCGAGTTGGATAATAATACGGATCCATTCAATAATGTAGAATTTCAAAAATTCACTAAAAATTATCATAATTGGATGGAGGCCACAGACATTAGCAGTAGCAGCAGTGATGAAAGTTTGGTAGACGGTCAGAATGTTGATACTCGTTACAGAAACAGTGATTGTTATCCTTATCATGTGAATGACAGTAATGATGAATCTAGTTATCGTGTTACTCATAAAAAAATTACATCATCCCAAAGTATGATGTGTCAAAGACTGGAATATATTCTTTTGCAAACAACATTACCAACCGATAAGTCGAAGAATTCTCGTTACTTCAAACGTGATAAAATTATTTACACACCTCGTTCAAAGTATAGACGAATGCCTACATTTCCTCTTGGTGGTAAGTTAGTAGGTATATCATAGTAATTTCTGATCGATTATACCTACTGTTTTCCGATTCTCTGTATACTCACTATTAAATTTATTTCACTAATGTTGATTAAGATCGATCGTTAAATTAACCTTTGATGTATACATAGTGGACTGCAGCTACCAAATAAACAAATCCTTCGCAGTGTTTAACTTTAAAATTCAACCTAATGGTTATGATGCATATAGAGATATATTGCGTTTTTTTGTTAGTCCAACAGTTCTGGTATACATTACTTTCAAAAACATTTGAAAAAGTTCGGTCTGACACATTTTAAAGGAATAATGCTCAAATAATATATTTTGCTTACTCGCGGGAGAACGTTGTTTATAATATGAAGTGTGAGTAAAATATGGTGGGCATCTGGAAAGTTGGGCTTGAGGATCAATTAAAATGATTACAGTAGCGCTAAAGAGAAGCTTCTCAGTAAACCATTTGTTTTCGGTTTATAAAACCAATTGTTCCTTAATTCAGTCAAAAGTGCATTAATGCTCTTCTGAGGTTACCTCCAAATGCATTTACGAATTTACATATACTTGTAAAAGCGCGTAAATTGGAGGAACAGAAAGAAGCGTATTCACAATGTTTTCCGAACATATTCCTCGTTAGTTGGCATCACTAGATATTTAATGAGTAATCGATACAACGTGGGTATCACGAATACGTTCAAAATAATTTAAAAGTAGCAGATACCACTTGTACTTCATTTCACAGAGACCTTTATTATCAAACGCCTTCGACGTGCTATTTATATACTGAAAGAAAATATGATAAACCTTATTTATTGGCGTGGTAAGATAGTTATATTATCGCATGTTATGACTTGACCTAGCTGTCGCCAATTTGTTATGTTTTTGACCTAGGCGGTAGCCAATTGTTATGACTTGATCAAGGTCGTCGCTGATTCGTTATGACCTTACGAATTTAACAAGGACGTAATTCGCGTAAATTATTCACCAATAGAATACGCCTTCTACGACATTCACACTGTAACAATGACGTTCGATTAGTATGAGTAACCTAGCGTCCTTATTGGCCCTTATCCGCCTAACCCGTCCACTTGAGTCCAAAACACCAATAGCAGCCTCGGCAATACGAATCGTTTATTTCAAGCATACTTTGTTTATATATCAGACAGACAGGCCACATCATACCACATAATAGAAAATAATATTTGTACAAAACCAGGCCAAATAAGGCTGTAAGTGTGGGAGACAATAATCAATAAAACTGAGTATAACATAGGGACAGTAAATCATATAGTAATAATCAATAGGTCAAAATAAAGCTTAGATAATCTAGTTACCGAGTAGTTATACAATAAGAATGCTAGTCCAATTGTAGGTCCTGCAAGTTACTCGTACTTATGTCTTCGCTACTACATAACATTGCAATGTTTGTCACTTATATTATCTCTTTATTATACTTTATCATTGAAATTATGTTTTGTCAACAAGCTTCCTTGACTATCATTCATTTGTTAAAAATTCGTATGTTATTCTTTGCCTATTTACCATCATTACAACTTCATCGCCTCCTCTCTTTATTCTTTTATAATTGTTTTTATCTTCAACATATTAAATACTCATCAATCTTAACTATTGTTGAATTCAAGAGTTTATTTTTAAACTAAACCACCATTGCAAACCTGGAAGCACTGGACAGCTGTATTGTCTTAATATGGGACTCCTCAGCAGTGCGCATGTATAAACTATTGTGCTAAGTATTTTGTTTCGAAGCAAAGTTCATTTATTATGGTATGTAATAAAACCTTTTCACCAGTCGTTTAAACCTTATAAGAAGCCTTGAAATACATTGAATTCATGTTATTCTGTAAAATTTGTTATCAATTTATTTAAATTTTCATAGTTGAAAGCGTGAGTCACTTGAAGCCAGACCACTATGGAAAACCTGGAAGAGCTGTTTGACGGCCGTTTCATCCTATTGTGGCACTCCTCTGCAGTGGGCATCCTCGACCTCGCCTCCTGAAAATCGAACCCAGGACCTACCAGTCTCGCGCCAGAGCGCTTAACCGATAGACCACTGAGCCGGCATCCATGGTGTTAATGTTTAACTTAAACCAATCCACGAAATTGAGCAACCATTCACCAATGTCATCAGTGAGTTACTATCTCACAACAGACGTGGTTTGAACTCCATTGGTTACTGCTTCTTACTACAACTTCAGGATTTACCTCTCGAAGTCAGTCACTAGTGAGCATATGATTATTATTATCAGAAGAGTTTTTTGTGGAGATTTAGTAGTCTATCGGTTAAGTGCTCTGGCGCGAGACTATTAGGTCCTGGGTTCGAGTCTCGCTTGGCGAGGTCGTGGATGCAGGATGCTGAGGAGTCCCACAATACAATTATCGTAATTTCGAATCTATAGTTGTGTAACTTGATGAAGTAATCATCAAATACGTTTGTGTCACTCTAATAACTAATTGCTTTTTAGTATTAATTTGTTGTCTTTTGTCAAAGTCTACATTTATTGACTATTTATTGACACCAGCTTAGAAAACATATTCCGTGAAAAATTTTTAAATTACAATTATTCTATGAACAAGGAGTAAACATGATGATGTAATAGAAAAATGGTAATAACAGATTACATAATACGAATTATCATAACAAAAGACTGTGTGTGTGTGTGTGTGCAAATAGAATGCTTTGTAAAATTAACAACCTATTATAATGTAACTGAAGTTAGATGGATAAACTGTATTTGTTACAATAATTAAAGATAATCGAGGTGTAAAATGAAATGACATAATATCAGGAACAATTATGAATAAAATCATGAGGATATAAGACATACGTAAAGAGAGGGGGATATTTTCATATTCGGAATGCAATAATAATAATAATAATAATAATAATAATAATAATAATAATAATAATAATAATAATAGATGAAGATCAAGATAACTAAGTGTCTCTGATATCGAGTCATTTCATCCTCCCTCTATTACCTTTTAATTATTGTAACGAAAACATTTAAACCATCTTACTCCATTTTCGTTATAATTCCGTTGCTAACTTATTATTTTTGCATGGCTTTCTATTTGCACACACACAATATTTTGTTACTACTACTACTACTACTATTATTATTATTATTATTATTTTTTCTTTCAAATTACGTAATCTCGTATTGCAATTTTTCTGTTACATCATCATGTTTATTCCTTGTTCATATGTCATCACGTAGATTAATGAAACAAAATATTCTATATGAATGATTATCTTCCATTTCATTCAATTTCTAATTTCTCCTACTTCTTTTATTTACAAGATTTGTTTCTTAATTCTTACATAACTATATAAAATATTTTGTTCGTTTCTTTTTTACATATTCAGCATAGCAACTATTTGAGTTTTCAAATATATATCTACTTTGATTATAATTAGTCTCTTCCTATTACTCAAGATTATTTTGTTATCAATGTGTCATTATATAATTACTATGTAGAGTAACTCATTGATGATTAGTAGTGTTTCAGTGTTGTGATACATACATATATGTATATTTGTATATGTTAGTATAGAGTCATGATAGTCAAATACCTTAGGTCTATCCTTATATTGTATTTTCATATTCTTAGTGTAACAGCTATAATCTAATGTAGGGTAAATTACTGAAAAGGAAATTCTTTAATCAATTCGTTATTTTTATAATCAGATATTCATAAGGGGTTTCAAAGTTGAAGTTATGAGTCGATTGTTTATAATCATATGCTCACTAGTGACTGACTTCAAGATACATGTCCTGGAGTTCTAGTGGGAAGCAGTAACCAATGGAGGTCAAACCACGTCTGTTGTGAGATAGTAACTCACTGATGACATTGGTGAATGGTTGCTCAATTTCGTGGATTGATTTAAGTTAAACATTAACACCATGGATGCCGGCTCAGTGGTCTATCGGTTAAGCGCTCTGGCGCGAGACTGGTAGGTCCTGGGTTCGAGTCTCAGGAGGCGAGGTCGAGGATGCCCACTGCAGAGGAGTGCCACAATAGGATGAAACGGCCGTCAAACAGCTCTTCCAGGTTTTCCATGGTGGTCTGGCTTCAATCGACTCATGATTTCAACTTTGAATAATTAGATATGTAAATTTTATTCTGATAGACTATTTTGTGACTATGGTGGATAGAGCTTATACATTAAGTGGAAACATTGTACGTTGTATTTTACTCAAACAATGTACTTACTAATACAGGTTACATTGTGTAATTTATTTTCACTGGAATATTATTCTGTTCATAATTGATTTATAGAATTTCAATGACTTTATCAGCATTATCCACTTGTAATTTATGGGTTATTCATAAAGTTTTCCATTTGAGTACTTCTAAAGTTCAATTTTGTATGGATTAAATTTTTTGTGTTTAAATATTAATGTAGTTGATACAATCAGTTATAGGTTCAACAACAAACAAAGTAAATATATTTTCTTTAGAAATATTGAATTTGGTTCAAAATGATGATCATTCTTTTCTATTCGATCTCTTATTTACGTTTCTATTGTATTATCAGCAGGGGTTTTGTGAATGGGATCGTGGATGTGCACTGGTCAATAGTCCCACATTAGAACGAAACAGCCGTTCAGTGCTTCCAGGTTTTCCATGGTTGTTAAGCTTTAATTGATTCATGATCCCAACTATCAAGATTTCTATAGTACTTTGCATTCACATTTGATTCATTAGTATTTAATATTGATGACATGAATGAAATTTCCCCCTTTTTTCTCTCATAAGATTACATGTATGTGTTTATTATTTCTAAGTATGAATCTTTTTTTTTTTTTGATAATCATATTGATTTTTATTTTGTCAATATAAACAGTATACATATTTATTTTCTTTTTGGTTTACTTCAATTTTAGAACATTTAACTATACGAATGACTCTCATTAATCCTATGCGTATTCCATTAGTTTTCACTAATGTTCATTTATTATGGATATTTAAATTGACAAATTCCATTACAGAATCATCATCTTGTATAATGAATACAATGGACATAAATGTTAATAATAATAATAATAATCCATCTTCTCATAATCATATAAATAATGATCAATTCATTCATATAACAAATGAAATTCCATCTCATTCCAATTATTCTTATTCTCATGATCATTATGAAATGATTAATCAATTTGTTTCTGGTGAAATTATAAATGAATTTATTATGTTACCAGGAGAACGAAAAAATGTAAATTTTTTTAATCATATTATTTATCATATGTATTAGAAGGGATTTTGTGGAGATATAGTATTTTTCATACTTGAAAGCGTGAGTCAATTGAAACTAGACCACCATGGAAAACCTGGAAACACTAGACGGCTGTTTCGTCCTATTGTGGAACTTCTCAGCAGTGCGCATCCACGAACTCGCAACCGCGAGATTAGAACCCAGGATCTACCAGTCTCGGACCAGATCCCTTAACCGATAGAACACTGAGCTGGGATATTTCTTAATTTTAATCAGTTATCAGTGTAGTTTAAGCGCATTATCATTGATTATATCTTAGGGATCAATAATCTGTTAAGTGTGGAAATCTTTTTATTTTATAATCAATGTTCTCAAGATTTTTAGGTTATCAACCTTGCAGGAAATCTTATTTATTATGTATCATTGACTAAAGTAATCAAACAAAATGGAAATAAGCACTGGTTATTTGGTATTTATGAACTCATCTCCAAAGTTTCATGCTGTGAGCAATTTTTTATGTTTAAATGCGTAGTTTACTAAGTAACTCACCGAATGTTAAGATGAGTAGGATGCAATAGTCAAGAGTTTATCATAGAGTCATGATAAGTCTAGTCCTTATCAATAATTCATAGTTTATATTCATGTTTTCACAGATTATGTGAAACTCTTTTATTAATTAATTAATTATTTATTTGGAAACATAAATATTGGTACAAAGGGGCATCAGATACATATGCGCTACACAAATCAAATGAGATTTGTGTGAAGGCTGTGATACTGACCAGGTGCACAAACTGAATCAGCTGGTTTTCTTAGGGGGAGCACACCCGGAGCCTTTGACTCAAAGGTCTGATCCACAAGGCAGTGGAGCATCATGAGAAGATGCAGTCCCATGGTAGCCGGTGGCCAACAATTGATTCATATGCGATTTGTTCCCTTAGGATACTGGAGTCTATGCGCACCATTAGTTTGAAATCAGGGTTTTCCAACTCCCCTAGGTGGATTCTCCGTGTCCACCAACCCGGTTAAGGCGCCAGACATTCGCTTTTCGTCCTCTCACTTTTGTGAACAACACCCCCGCCACGAGAAGGCAGTGAGTAGGACTTCCCTGGCAGAGGCTATATATTCGCGTGGCCATGTGAGAGGATTTCCAGATGGAGAGCGGACACTCCCCACTCTCGTCTGTACCAGGGCATTTGGTGGCAGTCTTTTCAAGAGATGGAGTCAATATGTTATGAATATTAGCAAAATAAGTCATGATGAAATTTCCCTAATTAGTAGTCTACTTTCAAAATAACTCACTGACATCGTAAATCATGATTTACATTTTATATCAGTGTTATTCATATTTCATTGCTTTTATTTCTTTTTAACTCAAATAAATATTCTGATTGTTCTTTTTTCTCAATTATTTTCCTTCATAATTTCTAGCTTCAACTCAGTGTAATTGCTAAACAATTAGGTCAGATAACTATAACTGGCCTAGCATTTGAATGGAGCTATCTGTCACCTCATCAAAATAATGTTGAAAATCACATTAACACTGATCATTATGTCGGTAATTCACCATCTTTTATTGAATCTGCACCAAATGTATGTTTATCTACCAACACATCAAATTCATTCAATAACAATCTATATGTTGATGGCAAAAATTTATCAGCTACTACTGATACAATGTGTACTAATCTCCCACCTCCTATTAGTAATAATAATGACAGTGTTCCAGCTTCTATTAGTGAACGTAATTCTGTAAAAGGTAAAATTTTATTCAATCATAAAAAGAATAACAGTATAAACGATAATTCCGTGATACGACTACCGTTGGATTGGTCCATTACTCATCCTGTTCCTTCTTTAAGAGTAAGTTGGAATTCTTTTAACAAGTTATGCTTTTCAGTAAATTTTTACTAACCTTGCTTTATATATATATATATATATCATATCTTTGTTTCTGTTCTTGTTCTACTCTCCGTTTAACATTAACATATCTGAAACTAAAGCTGCCCTAACGCTCAAATCTAAAGCAGTGTGTCAATCATTACGTGACTTTTAAAAACTCGAACAACGTTATTTAATTAAACAAGTGTTTGAGTTGTTTTCATTCGTGGTTAATTAGGCTGAAACCCTTTGGCATTTAATACGTCTGAACTAGATGATGAATAGCTCAAGAATCGATTTCATTGTGATAAGCTTAGCATCTAAAAAAATTAACAAAAATTATGCTGTATCTCACTTCATCAAGTTTTACAGTTCGCTAATTTACAATTCATACCCACTTAGTTACTGTTCTTTACGTTTAAGCCAGTTTTTGTTCGTATTTATGATCATTAGTTCATGACTCTTTTTTGACTTTAAATTTTAAAATTAAAGATGTGGCTAGAACCCCGTTTCTGCAAAAGATCTTGGCCACTGTTTGTGCATCATAATTCACTTTCCACCGTGTATATAAATTTCAATATATTCGCTGAAAGTGAGCTGTGATTGGTTTGTGACTTCAGGGAAATTGATTTATATGAATTGTAACCTACTGTACTTGTCATAATTTATCTTAGTTCTGGCAAATGTTGTGTTTTTTTAAATTGGTCTTCGTACTAATGTTGTTAGAAGGCAATCACGTTTCCAGGTAATTCGTCCTAAGCCAGTAAAAATGTTCTAAAGCTTGGCATTGATAGACTCGCAGGTTTCCAAAACATATGGAGACCGATACGTGTCGACAAGACGTTCGTTTATCTCACCTCTGGTAAATTCTTTAAACTGCTCTCCAACCTGTTCTGAGTAAAAGTTAACACCGAATAGGGTCGTGATGTAATTTTTTTCTATTTTTAAAAAGAAAATCATATTTTCGTATTCCCTCTACTATTTACAACTTGGCTCACTTTTCTGTCTATCACTTTATTTTATTAAAATAGCTCTTATTTTACTCAACTCTTCAGTATAATGTCGTTTTCACGATTACTTCCGTATTACAAAAACAATAAGAAAATTATTTGACTGTTAAAACTATATCGTTAGAATATATTTTTAACGACGATAGAGGACCCATCACGTTCGAGTAAAGTCACATGTCTGAATGTTAAGTTCATAAGAGAGGTTGTGGTTCGTATTGATCGTTTATGTATACGATTTAACCAAAAAAGATGATACACAGTGTACCAACTTTATGAGAATATTGTTTGAATAGATAAATGCACTATGCCCTAAATCAGTGGTCCAAGTTGATATTATTTGAGTCATTTGGTTACTCATAGATACACCCGAGTTCCCTAAGCTACTATTCTTTAGTGGAATAGATCATAGGTTAATAACTATATGTGTCGGACTTCAGGTCGTATTAAATAATTAAAAGGAATTAAGGTTTCAAGTGATTTCGTTTATTTTATGATCTGCTATGTCATGTGTAATTTATATTTTCATATGATTGATAAATTTGCTAAATACCTTAGTGACGTTGTTGATGGTATTTCAAATATTGTTTTACTTGTGTTTATTTTATGAGTTGCGATGGAACAAGAATTAATCGGACATTTTCACCTTGTATCTTTTGTTATGGACGAAATATTTATAGGTATTTTTCAGCTCATTCCCAAGCCAACTCTATGAAGGTCAAATATGTTCAGTTCAAATTTCACTAACTAACAGCGGTTTAATACCACTGACTAATTTGCGTATTGCATCAAATTATCCAGGTTTATTTGCATTTGGTTCAGTTCCATATGATCTGTCATCAAATAAACATATTCAATATCTTTCAATTCAGGTAGGTTCTGGTATTTACGAAAGTTTGTATACTTTTATTATTGTTGTTTTTATATACACAACAGTCAAATCTTTCTGTGTTCTTGTGTGTGGATATTCTAACAATATTTTGAGTTACTAATGTGGTGATCGGCAAAATGGATGTTTCAATTATGCTGATATGTTTCCGTTCAATCTTGTTGGTCTTGAAATCCTTATTCACCTTTAAACTGATTATGCTCGTCTGAGTAATCTAAGAACAAACAAGTAAATAGTTCTTTGATTTTTTGTAAACATCCAAACTGTTGCATAAAATCATAAATAAGGTTGAACAAGAAACTGCTAAAGTTAGTCGAAAAGGCATGGTGTTATTCGAAAAGATTCAAAATGATTAGTGATCGAATAATTCAGATAATTGCAAATTTATTGAAATAGTACAATACACTTCATAAGTTACATGATTTTATAGATTGTTAAATGTTATCGAGATGACGAACTGTTCTAACTTACTGTCTAACTTCGGTTCATGATCCCAATAATAAACTTCCTCTAGCTAATAATAATGGGTTTTTGTAAAGCGCGATTCCAGACTTCATTTTATTCTTCAGTCCACAATGTACTTGGTATTTCCGAAGGTTGGATGCTAGCTCCAAATCTCAGTGAACAAGTATCTTCGTTCTTAACTTGTGTATCATAGAATTCAATGTATAAATAGTGTAAGTTACGATTCTGTGAATAATATTGTTTAGGTGAAGATGTTTAATTTTGATCGACAGATGAATACAGTAATGGCTTATCGTATTATTTAACTACTGACTCAACTGCAACTTACTCCACTTACTCTATTGAGTGGATATTGAAGACAAGACAATTAGCCAGAAAAATAGAACCATATTCCAATATAATTCAAGATTCTATCGATAAACCCTCATTCCTAACTCTCAGTCCAATAAACAATTTTCTGACATTTTATAAATTTACTGATTTCACTCAAAAGTCTTATTTCTCCCAAAGTTCGATGAGCTCTTTTTTTTGAAGACTGTAACAGTGAAAGTGTAGTAGCTTACCCAAATAAATTTCTCATAGTTAGTTTCATTGGAATTCAATTCACTGACTTAAAGTCTGTTCGATAGTGTATCATATTGAATAGCGTTGAAGCATTCGTTTGTCAGTCAGTGAACCAGGGAAGTAGTCATGATAATAGTATAGCTAAGCATCTGAGTAAAAAAGAATAATGTGTAAATGCATGATTTTTTTTAACAGGAATTGATAAAACCTCATCTCATTTCTTTTAAAAAACTTTTTTTTAGCCATTAGAGCCATGGATTGACGTTCCTTGTGGTCAGTCTTCTTTAAACAGCAGTTACTCTACTGGTAAACAACCTTCTGTACTAATGCCAGGTACAACTATTACTCAAAAATTATGGTTACGCGGTCCATACTTAACATATCCATATTCTCGTAGAAGGCATCGTAATTCTAATTCACATCGTTATCCTCAGCTCATTTCAGCTTTACCACCATCATCATCAACATCACTATCTAATCAGAATAGCTACAGTAGTAACACTTCCGGTGTTGTAATTTGTGGTGGTTCTCCTACTGTTACTGCTACAGCTCCTATGACTTCTACTATAAACACTAATACTGGTCTTTTACCTCATATACAACAAAAAACTGTACATATTGTTTTCCAATATGAATCCACTAACAATTTACGAAATGAACAACGGCAAAAACCATTTACCGGGTAAATATCTTATTTTTTTAATCAACAATGTTCCATTTTAGACATATATTATAAATAAAACATTGAACAGAAATTTCATCATTACTACTTTATATTGTGATTTGCTTTAATCAGTATGACTGTTTCACTGATAACTTAAAGTGAAAAAGAAAATTTAATTGTGAATTTTGAGAATTATGTAAAAGCTTGAGAGTGGACAGTGTTGTTATGTATTAGGCTTAAAATGAAATCACTACAATTCCATTTTTTAAAAACACAATTCCAGTACACTACAAAGCATAAGGGAGACTTGTTTAGTCAGACAGATGGATTATTAATCGATCACTAGGTGGTGATCAATGTCATGTGTGTCAAGTCCTTCTTAGTGCTGATCGAATGCTATCGATCAAGTTGCAATATGGCCACTGGTCTTGGTGGCTCGACACTGGGTGCGCTATATACATTGAGATAAGATGGTGGTTGGAGGTGGTCAACAGGAAACCCTGGACCCGGGTTTCGTGCTACTTGGCACTCGTCAGCAAGGTGTACCTGTAATCTTGAGGAAACTGATGCTCCCTGACGGATTCGATCCCGTGTCACTCAGTTTCACAGTCAGAGACGTTACCACTGAGCTACCCGGGCCGCGACCGACCTCCTGTAGGACTGGGATGTAATCACAATTGATTGATCACTGAGTGGACTTGACACGCATGACATTGATCACCACCCAGTGATCGATCAATTGTGAAGACGGATTATCAATCCATGGACAGTAGGATGAAGTTTAAATTTATAATTTATAAGGAATAATAGCTTAATATCATAACAATTTCATCACAACACTTTCGTTTTTCTGCAACTCTTTCACTTCTATCAATTCGCTGTGTTGAAGTTTAATATACTTCAACCGGAAAACACCCTTCATTTGTTGATTGTTGAAAATGAAAAGAATTTGAACATCTCGTTTTTTTCATAGATTTCGAAGTGATCTATTGTATGTTAAATAAACGAATTTTATTTATCGTCTACACTGTGTAAATAAACACTGTCTATGATTATAAGTATCAATGCTAAAGTTGAACTTGATAGTTTCAAATAAATTGACCAATGAGTAGATAAACTGTATATCTGATGTTTCGTAACTTGATTTAAGCCGCTTCCTCAAAGTGAATAAATAACAGTATTCATATCTATGATTTATGCATATCTTGATCAACTTCATATATGAAATATTTTACATTACTTAAACTGTATAATGCAGTTTAGTTATGATCATTTATTTCATAAATTTATTTGAACAGATAAATATTGGTACAAAGGGACATCAGATACATATGCGCCACACAAATCTCATTAGATTTGTGCAAGGGCTGAGATACTGCCCAGGTGCCGAAATCGAAGCAGGTGGTTTTCTTAAAGGGCCACACCCGGAGCCTTTGACCGAAAGATCTGATCCTCAAGACAGTGGAGCAACGTCAGTAGATTCAGTGCCATGGTAGCCGGTGACCAGCGATTGGTTAATACGCCATGTGTTCCTTCAGGATCCTGGAGCCCATGTGCACCATTGGTTTGAAATCAGGGTTTTCCAACTCCCCTAGATGAGCTTTCCGTGTCCACCAACCCGGTTAAAGTGCCAGACATTCGCTTTTCGTCCTTTCATTTTCGTAAATAACACTGAATAACATATGAACTATTTTATTCTCATAATATATTTTCATTATTTTGCATAGATACATTTGATATCATCATCATTGTCAGTTTATTTCATTGTATGCTTATTTCTATACTTTTTTTTTATATCAAGCTGTCGTTATGTTCGACATCGTTCTGAACTAGAACTTAAATCATCATTGAATTTTGAAGCTGTTGCAAATTGTTTAAATATAACCAATATCAATGATTTATTGATTAGTGTACAAATTAAAAATGTTGTGAATTCAACAGTAAGCTAATTATCTTTTTATCCAATTTTTTTAATAATTAGATTTTAATATTACTATTATTATGTTTGTGAGTAGAATGTTACTTTTCAATTTTAATTTGGAATATGTATATGTATGGTAGATGTGTATACACATCTCAATGTATAATATGCTTATCTATGCAAACTGTAACATAATTTTGTATATGGACCTTAACACTTTATTCATTAAACAATGATGTAACATTAGAATAGAGTGTTTGGGCGATCAGAAAAACTTTTATGAAATACAGATGTATTCATTTGATAGGTCTTTGAAGAAAATAAAACATATTTGTATGTTGGTTTGTTCTCTGAGCTGGATGGTAAGTCTGTGGAGCTCTCATCGTCCTTCTGAACGACATCATCAGCACAAACTTCGGGTAGAAGTGAAGTGTTTGAATTTCTCCACATGTGATCCACAGCTTGTCCTCTGCACCTTGAAATCAATCCAATCTATCAACCAATCAAGAAAATTATGCAGGAACATAGGAACAAAAATCAAAACAATAGGAGAGACAATCAAAACAAAGAAATAAACAATGACAGATTTAAGGTCAATAAGAACCAATCAACATCGAGGTGCAGAGGACAAGCTGTGGATCACATGTGGAGAAATTCAAACACTTCACTTCTACCCGAAGTTTGTGCTGATGATGTCGTTCAGAAGGACGATGAAAGCTCCACAACCAAACCATCCAGCTCAGAGAACAAACCAACATAAAAATCACCCACCTGAGCTACAAATCTTCTCCACCATCTCAAAAACATATTTGTTCTTACATCGTGTTTGACGAAATCTCAGCACGGATTCAAAAAGCTCGTTTGGCTTTTCCCCACTTATGACGGAGACGAGATATCCGTCTATCAATTAAGGGACGAGTATACTGCGCAGCAGTTCGTTCTGTTCTACTTTACGGCTATGAAACTTGGCCATTAAGAGTATAAGATGCTGTCAAGTTACTAGTATTTGACCACAGATGCCTTAGAAATATTGTTCTCATTTTCTGGGATGGCCGGGTAAGTAATAGTGAGGTTAGACTCAGGGTATTAGGGAACGATGGTAAATCAGTTGATGAGGTCATGAATCTTCATCAACTGAGATCGTTGGGTCACGTGTTACGTATGTCTGAACACCGATTACCACGATGCGCTATCTTGTTGTACTAACGAGGTATGGCAACTTGGATCGATACATATACGTGCCTGGTCCTACGTTGTAGCTGACTGACTGACTGATTTCTTCTTACATTCTTCTGCAACAATATATAATGTTCAAATGTGTTAATATATAAACTGTTCGATCTCGGGTTTGTGCAATGGACAAACCATTAGATTAAATTTAGTTGCTAAACACTTATAGAGGGATCTTAATCAAATATTGTAAAGATTTCATTTATTTAAATTCATTGAATTATATGTTTAAGTATTTAAAACATTTAAAATATCCACTTACATTTAATTGTATTATTTACTCATGCCAATTTTTGACATTCCAATTTATGATATCGATTAGATTATTCAATTGTCATCACTAAAACAATCAAATAAACATAAACTCCTTATTCTATTTTAACTATCACTTATTATCTGAATCACAACAATTACATTCAACGATTCTAATCAATTATCTTATGTGAATATATTGAACAATTAACTGGAACAATAAAAATAACACAAACTTTCATTCCTTTACTTGGTGTTGTTAATTTCTATCTTCCCATTGTTATTTAGGACTGCAATTGATCAGTCTCTTGTTGGCATATGTGCATCCTCTACGGTCTTCAGTCACAAGCTTTTTAAGCAAAGATGGACAGTGGCTTAAAGTGTAATCTAGGACGCGCGTTTCGTGGATAACGCGATGGCGTTTAAAGCGAACGGAACTCGGTTCGAGTCCCATAATGAGCATCAACTCTGAGATGCAGGTACATCCAACTGACGTCTCCTAAATAGGACGAAACTCCCGTCCTGGATTCCACTGCTAGCAACTATCCATCTTTTATTCATTTCTTCACTTTTATTTCGTTTACTTACCATCATTTTATGCATGCTGTGACATGTTTGATTCATATCATGTATACAAATTGTATGTTTTCTATTAAAAAAAACCGACTGATCAGTTAATATTTAGTGAATGAAATTTCTTCTCACACCGCTTATGAATGAATACACACAGTTTGTTATCTTAACAAAGTTTATGTTACATATCACATGTTTCTTACACACTAAAGCAAATACCTATTTTAAACATTGTTAATCTTGATTGGATACTCTATTTTGTATACAGTTAACCAGAGAATTATATGCTTATTTATATTCGATAATTTTGATGTTTGAAAACGTTTGGACCAGATCGACATACGAAAGGTTGAATGTACTTTAAATTCAAATCTCTGAGATTTTACGAATATATTCTTCTTCCTTAATGTTTTACACCAACTCGGCACCCAAATAATGTGAAACTATTTGATCACCGATAAGTCTTGTCGATTGAACGTTATATTCGTTTTCCTTAGCTATTCTGGTAACGCACAGGCTAGACCTACTCAGCGACTTGAACACCCAGAGAGAAGACGCAAGCATGAGAGAAAAATACTTTACTCTAAGGTTCGTTCTTGTACAGACAATCATGGGTATTTATAGATGTTAGCGTCTGTTAAATCAACATCATATTTTAGCCAATCCGTTAACGACATATTGTGCTACCGACCAATAGTAGCACATCACGTTGGAATTCTAGAATGTTCCATCATACTTTGATTGGCTAGGGTTCTTCGTCTCCTTTTGGGCCTCTGGAGGCTTCGTTGAAGTTCTCCGGAAGCCGACTCAATAATAACATTTAGATGGAAGTTCTTCTATAAATCAAAATGTTACTTTTGAAATAATTCTCATTTGATTTATCATGATCTACTTCATATGAATTTTATTTTATGTATTAGGTTCCTATGAATTTTCAAATTTTGCAAATTGCTTGTATTAGTCGGTATTGGAGTATAAAACCAATCCAATCAACATGTAATATTGGTAAGAAATAAAAATCAGTTTAATATTTTATTATTTTAATACTATTCACTTGTTAGTATTTAACAAAGACGGTACTTTTAATGGTCAAAATTGATAATTGCTTAGTTTTTGATCATCTGAAAATTGAACATTTACATATCTAGAAATGGTTGGGCTTTCCAAAAACCTCATATGCCCATTGTGTGTACGTGTAGATTATTAAATGAGGTAATTAGTGTTAGTTTTGATAGACTTTTAATCAGTTTTAACTAAAAAACAATCTATTAAGCAATTTAAAAAGATACACTTCCTTGGGCTTAAACTTTATCCACTGGGTTTTTCCCACATTTAACTAAGTCATCTTTCATAACCATTGTTACTTAGAAACTGTTACCAGTCGGTGCGCCATCTAAAAATAAGTTGGCTAAGTAAGTAATATATCATCGGCTCATGAATCCATAAACCAATTTGTAGTCCTTTCACGTTTGATGCAATTTAAAATAATTTAATCATTCTTCTGTTTGATCTAGATGTTTGGTTCTATCTATCTATTTATCTTTGAGAAGAAAATATCTATATTTTCTGATCCTTCATGAAAGTGACTTCCACTTTTATTTAATTTACCACTGAACAAAAAGATAATTACACTTAAACATGTTATTCAATTTTTATTTAATTCTTCATGTTAATTCATTTTTTTCATTTGCTCTATTCACTTCATTTATCTACTTAGAGGTTATGACATTGCTCTATTTAATCATATAACTAATTTTAGATTGAATCAAACCATTGGATTTGATCAAGCGCTACATAACCATAAATACATATTATATATCATTGAGATATCATGAATCAGTTGAAGCTAGACTATCATGGAAAATATATCACAAAAGACAAAACAATACTGTTTATTACAGTGCCCCCAAATGCCCTGGTACGGCCGAGAGTGGGGAGAGTCCGCTCTCCCTCTCGAAATGCTCTCACATGGCCACGCGAATATATAGCCTCTACCAGAGAAGTCCTACTCACTGCCTTCTCGTAGCTGGGGTGTTGTTCACAAAATTGATAGGACGAAAAGTGAATGTCCGGCGCTTTAACCGGGTTGGTGTGTAGTATCAGTTTATTTGTTAAGCCCATATACTTTATCCTAGCTACTGGCCAAGCCAATTCGCCTGTCATGAGTCATATTTTGATCTTGTTCATTATTCGCTTATTAACCTTGGCTGTACTTTTACATGAGCATATATGTGTACACTTCGTATCTTATTCATCATATGTCTGTCACTCATTTTTGTCCGACTATAAATGTTGATTAACGCTTGCTTAAATCGGGTTGGCATCCCAGCCATCTCCAATACGCATCATCTTTCGCCTCGTTCTCGGGTTTGCTTCCCAGCCATCTCCAATACGTATCATCTTCCGCTTCGCTCTCGAGTTGGCTTACCAGCCATCTCCACTGCATGTCATTTCCTCTTCGTTCGCTTCCTTCGCTTATTCGCCTGTTTATTCGCTCAGGTATTGATAACCTTCTGACCTGAGTTATTCGACAATAAACTGTAGTTGCTGCTATCCTTTGTCTTCTGATTTTACGCACCGTTAAGATTAGAATTATAACGGTTATCGAAGTAAACGATTAACGAATCGCGGCACTACAGAATTGGAGACCTCGCCGTACGAGCACGACGCTACAGGTGGACATGGAGGGTCCACCAAGGGGTGTTGGAAAACCCTCATTACAAACCAATGGTGCACATGGGTTCCAGTATCCTGAGGGAACAAATGGCGTACGAATCAATCGTTGGTCACCGGCTACCATGTCACTGAATCTACTGATGTTGCTCCACTGCCTTGTGGGTCGGATTTTTCGGTCAAAGGCCCCGGATGTGGCCCTTTAAGAAAACCACCTGCTTCGATTTGGGCATCTGGGCAGTATCACAGCGCATATTTATATATATATATATCTGATGCCCTTTTGTAACAATATTTATTTGTTTAAGTAAATAATAAAATTATGTTTATTATAGTATAGATAATTTCTTCTAAATTTATTTAGAGCACTGTTTTCTTTAAAATGATCACGTTTAATTGATTTTCTTATTTATTTATATTAAAATGTTGACTTAGGACACTATGAAAAGATGAAATCAATAAAAAGAAGAAATGCATCATTTACCAATTTTTTCAATTTGATTATGCAATTTTATGATTACATTTTAACTGTTTATTTATTGAATTAAAAAAAAAAGGTGAAAAAGCAAATCAAATCACATAAAGACCTCATTATTTTTTTTTTAGAAAAATTTTTTTTGATTAACTTAAATGTTTTTTTTTCATGTTCATTTTTTTTATTTCTTCAACTTAGATACTATTCCTAGTATACATGTAGGAGAAATTATTACTCTTTATTTTAAAGCTAATCCAATTAAAAATAATTCAGATTATATAGAACATAATGAAATGAGTAATCACACTTCACAGGAAGGATATAATAATACAGGGAACAAATATATTTCTGTAATCCATTTCAATCATCATCATCATCATCATTATTATTGTCAATCAAATAATATGGATAATACTAACACTAGTACTGATAATAATGATTCAAATTTACCACAATCATTGATCAATAGATGTAACGATGACAACATGATGATGATGATGATATCATCAACTAATTTAGAATTTTTTTGTCGGTCTGGAATACATTGGTATCATCAATCTGTAAGTATTTATTGTGTTTTTTTTTTAAAATTTCCAGTAAAATAATAATAATGATGTTGTTGTATTTTGAGACTTCTGTTTCCTAAATATATTTGGTAAAAATTGTAGGATAATCTCCCCCATTTTGTTACTGACTAAAATATATTGACGAAATTAAATGTCGCGAAGGTCTGTTCTTAAAATAATAAAAAAAGCACGTTCAGCCATGTGTTATATTCAGTCAGGTTGTTGGAATAATGTCACAGATCGAGGACAACATTGTATCGTTTAAAACGACCAGTACAGGGTTTCTAGTCTTACAGTCAATCTTAACAACAGAATGAAGGTACATTTTGGTGGTCGGTATTTGATAGTCTCCTTAAACTTCTTATATTGTTCGTTCTGTAAACCGTTACTAGATGTTAATTATACTTAGTTGACCATCTGATTCCATAGTATTTTATCGACTTGAATCGAATACGCAACAAATCTCTCTTGTCTATTTCTTTCGAAATAGAATCTCACCATAATCAAAGCAAATGTTAAGTCACAAGATCATTAGAAATAATAATAACTGTCAAGATTATTCGTTTCTTTTCATCGTTTTGTTCGTTAGACTGATCACTTTCATAACATCGAATACTCGAGGTTCGTTTGGTAATTAATAATATGTTGTGAAAATTAATTCACAACTACTGTATAACTTCTGAGATTGAATAATCGTAGATAAACATTGCTGTTTGAAAGTGAAAATTATAGCATTTGAAGAGTCGGAAGCAGAAAGAGCAATGGAAATCTTTTCTTGTAGTTCTTGTCATTATCTAACTTGACTAAATTATATTAATATTTTAAATGTAACTATCATGTCTTTTGTTACTTATCTTATATATGACTCAATGAAATAAAATATTTTGATTGTTTTGTTTTCAGAATGATTCAATTAAATCTTTTGACGATAGTTCATCCTTGGATATTAATCTCCTTATAACATGGAAGGTATACAGAATGGTTAATATTATCATTATTTTTTACTGTCACTATTATTCTTACTGCTTAGAAGATATTACAAAGGACCAGAAAGTGGAGAGCTTTTGGTAGTTATAATGGATTGAAGGTTATAAACCGTATTGTCTATGTTACCTTTTATGTTAAGGGTACTTTTTTGGTAGACAAATCTCTTGTTTTAAAGTGTCACTGATATATGACAACACCCTGTTGTGTTGTTATAGCTGGCTGCAATGAAGATAATGAAAGAGTCCAACTTGACTGTATTCGAACACGGTAGATCCATAAGGTAATTGACCGTTGGTTTTAACTTTGTGGGAAGTTGAGTGTGATATATATCATTATTAGTCGTAGTAGAAACGCCATATTTACCTTTAACAGTCCAATGAATCTCAAACATTTGACCATTATTTCGTTGTTTTGATTCTTCTACATTTCTGTTTCTGCATTATAATTCTTTACTACAACTGTTATGCTTGTTATACTTGGTTTTTCGCCGGTTTTTTTATGGTTTTCCATGTTGATATGAGTTGTAGCGTACTAAATCAGTAAATACTTTAGACGGTTTCTGAATTCTTCGCTGCTAATGGGAGACTCACCATAGACTCTGCTGTATGTAAAAAACCAGATCGGTCTCCATAAGAGAACCTGGTGGATATAGTATAAATTACTTTAACTTATTTATTTTTATCTACCATATGACCACTATCATCCATCAAATGTGACAGAAGTCAGCTGCTTTTGTTTTTAGCATATGTTTTTCCAATCACAAAAAGAAGTGTTTACTAACTCTATGGTTTGATTGTCTGATTCTACTGTGAACATGGCTTTCTCCACAGTAGCACCTGAATTCGTCGATGCACATGGATGTAGGAAGACTATGTAAATTACTCTTTAGTGAAGGAATCCCCATAACTCGTTTTGAAAATGATATATGGTGGTTAGCTGCAATAAATGTCCTCTTCATTACTTTCGTCAGTCTATCTTGTAGGAATTCATTTCTCATTACGTAATTTCAATAATTTTTAACGGATATTATTTCTGTATTTATTATTTTTAGTCGTTGACCTACTTTCTATTGCCAAATATCGATTCTAGCCCTGATTATTCTTATCACACAATCAATTTGTACTCGTTTATGTTTAATTATGTAATTTAATTCACTGTTATTATTGACTCATAAGCTGCATTGTTTGGCTTTAATCATTTAATATATGTATATCAATAGTATTGTATATTAGAGTAAAATCTGATGATGATGTAATTGAAAACAATATTGTCCAATTATATATGTGTTATTCTTATTTACAATATTTGGAATTTATGGTATATGTGTGTGTGTGTGTCTGTTTTGATAATAATTCATTGTGTAGAAAGAAGTAATAGTTGCCAAGTACTTTACCATATTCTTCCAAAAAATTTTCTTTTTTTCTTCTTCTCAAATCGGTTTGTTTTTTATTCTGTATTCTTGTGTATAGGGTTCAACAGAAACTACATTGACTAATCTTAATCAATCTATCTGGGGACAAAGTCATTTAAGAATTAATCATCTAAATTATCCTGTACAAATGCCGTATAATTATAACAATAATTATGTAAGCTTTTGTTGTCAATAATGTTGTTACCCTTTGTTTGTTGTGAGCCAACGTTCTTTCTGATGTTTATGTCAATAATTTGTAGTAAAAGGGACGCTATAATTACAATAGCTGATATTATATGTATAAAAGTGTACAGTTTCTGCACGTTTATTTGTTGTTACACAAATTTTATTGTTTTGTCGCATGCAAGTAGAGATTGATTGATATTTCACTTTATCAGCTTCTTTATGTGGTTGGGCACTCAATTGTTTATGCACTCGACATTCAGCTTCAAATGTTATATTACCAATTAAAATCGTAGACTTTGATAGTTGAATTGTACCTTGAATTTAAAACGTCAATCAGATTTACCTGGATGATATGCAGTCACATTATTCTTTTCCAAACATTTGATGAGTGTTCTAACATTTTTTTTGGTTCAGATTGCTATGCTTATTGGTCATTTTAAGGTACCATGTAATATCTCGATTGTTCATTGTAAACTCGTAGGTTTGTGTTTTTATAAATTTGGCAGTATTTTAGGGAAAATCATTTTCTGATGTTATATTTTGAATACCTTTTCAAGGTGCTTAAGTAATACAATTAGCTAAATATATCAAGAATACGAATTACTATATTGTACGTAAACGCTTAAGCTTGTTCAAATTAAATGGAAACTTGCATATTTTCAGTTACGAATGTTTTTTATGCTGATTATAATATTCTATTTAAAGAGATGATCAAAGTAATTTATAAGGCCAAGGTTTTGCGTGATCATATTCCATTGTCTTCGTTAAGTGACACGGTTGAACTCCACTGGTCATATTTTCTTACTGGGACTCCGGGAATTTCCTTCCAAAGATATTTACTGGTTAGCTTATAATATTGGTCTCATACAAAAGTCAGTGGAGCAATGTCAGTAGATTCAGTGCCGTGGTAGCTGGTGACCAACAATAGGTTCATACGCCATTTGTCCGTTCAGGATGCCAGAGCCCATGTGCAAGATTGGTTTGGAATGAGAAATTTCCAACTTCCCTCGATGGACTTCCCTTGTCCACCAATCTGGTTAAATCGCGGGATATTCTCTCTTCGTCCTTTCAATTTCTTAGACAACACCCCGGTCGTGAGTATGAGTTTCCTGTCATCTAATCTTTTGATATTCATTCATCCTTGTATATATATATATATATATATATATATATATATATTCAATGATCAATTGTTCATTTGTTTATTTTTTTTCTTTAAATGATTATTTTACAGAATATATTAGATTTAAAATTATCTAAAAGGAGATTTAAAAAATGTAAACATCAAATAAATAATAAAAAATTAATAAATTTAAACAATTATGATTTATCAAATTTAATAAGAATTCAATTAAATTATCCAAAATTTGTAAATTATTCACAAAATAATCAAAACTGTAATGATATAAATCAATTAAACAACAACCATAATGATAATGATAATACAAGTTATACTTATTCATCACTTAAAGATTTCTTTAAAGATTTTTATCATTCAACATTTAATCAGTTACCATGGGAACAAACAAAAAAATGGTAAATTAATTTAGTGGTCATGTTTTGATACAATCTTATTTTATTATTTATTGTATTTAAACACATACATATTGGTACAAAAAGGCACCAGATACATATGCGCCACACAAAATAATGAGAATGGGAGGAGAAGGAAGATGTGTATATATAAAATAAGAAAAAAAAGAAGAGAAATGATGGGGATGGAACTGAAATGTACAACCAGAAGAGCTCTCTCAGTCAAGAAAGTTGGAACCACTCTTTATGAAGAAAGAAAAAGAAGGATGCTGACACCAATTGAATTATCGTCTCTGCGCCCGGACACACGATGCCGAACCTCTGCATTACTAACATGGTGTTGCCACTGGATTTCAGCAATCCTTCGGAGACAACGGTGATCGAACACAGAGAGTCGTCTAACATCCTCAACTCGGGGAGGCCAGGTTTCACAAGCATAGAGCGAAACCGTTTTCACCGACGCTTTGTAGATCCGACCTTTTACAGCCCGACTAATATCACGAAGGTGCCAGAGATGGCCCACATTGGCATAAGCCGATCTGGCTTTCACTATACACGGAATGATCTCATCACTCACGCCACCACCAGAACTTATGCAGCTGTCTAGATACACGAACTTCTCGACTACTTTAATCTGCTCACCATGCAGAGTGAGTACAGGATTAGAATCCTGCCAGTCTTGTAGGAGTACTTTGCACTTGGAGGGTGCGAAGCATATACCGTACTTGCGGACACTGATTGCCAACTGATAAAGTGCGGATTGCATGCCTTGGGCATTATCGCACACTAAGACAATATCATCTGCATAATCAAGGTCAAGAAGTCGTTCTCTATACAGCAGATCCACACCGCCATTACTTACATCGATCAGAGCTGTTTCCAGCATGTCATCGATGGCAAAGTTGAAGAGAACTGGTGAGATCAGGTGACTCTGCCTAACCCCACTGCTTGAATGGAACAAGGGAGAAAGATGGTTGTATGCCCTCACTCTACAAATTGCAAAATTAAATTAAATTACAGAAAAATAGTTTCACTATTTTTAGATAAGTTGTACAGTTTAATGTTGAAGTATCGAGCTAAACGTTTTCAATTTAATTAATTATTATGTAAATTATTTCACTGGCTGACGTAGATACTTGTCTCTACTCGATATTGTTTGAATTCTATTTGTCACAACTTCTCACTCGGAACTTCACTTCAAAGCTAATCATTAATGAGAATATGATTATTATCAGATTAGAGATTTGTGAAGATTGTAGTAATTTTAATATTCAAATTGCTATAATCTCGATAAATATTTATTCTGATAATTAATTATCAACTATGATACTAGCTTGATGTACTCAAGTTTAGTTTCCAGATGAATTAGATGGCAGTATCATCATCTCATTATAGGATTGAATGTCATTTCTGATTTTTTGTCATAAGATGGTGGTTAAAGGTGGTCAATAGCAAACCTTGGACCCGGGTTTCGTGCTACTTGGCACACGTCAGCAAGGTGTACCTATAATCTTGAGGGAACTGGTGCTACCTGACGGATTCGATCCCGTGTCACTCAGTTTCACAGTCAGAGACGTTACCACTGAGCTATTCAGGCCGCGATTGAGATGTAATCACAACTTGACACGCAAGACATTGATCATCACCCAGTGATCAATCAATTGTGATGACTTTTGTCATTTTTGATAGGTATGTAATTAAATTTTCATCTTCATTCTTTTATTCTTTCTTCGATTATACAACAGTAGCAAGTATCAGGTTCAGGTTTGTAGTCAACAGTAATATTAGTAGTAGTAGTACTCTAAGTATTTTATCAGATTTCCATATTAAATTATATGTATTTACTTTGAAATGAGATTTCTATATAAATGACTTATTAGTAGTAGGGATTATGATAGTACTTCTGTGCATAATATAACTATTTCAACATACTTAATACTTAACTCTTTTATGTTAATTTTTTTTGATCTTTTAAAAAATGTATTCAACAACAATAAGTTTTGTTCCAATCTCTGTACAAGCTAAAATATACAATAGTTCAATGTGGCCTATTATTGTTCAATTAGATATGAATGATAAGAATAAATTTGAGTAAGTTGTGTTTTTTTTTAGTTATTGTCACATTCATGTTTACAGGATGATTATGTTGTGTACTTTCCTGTTACATCTTTGATCTATCTACCCACTTTCGTGCCAAGGATAACTTGTCTGATGTAGATTAAGACGTTGACGCTATAGACTGGCTGGTTTAACCTTGAGTCTAGTATGCGTGAGTTCAAAGTGGGGATAGAGAGACGAAAACTATTCTATCACCTGATTGGCTGACAGGCACGCGCGAGAAAGAAGACAAGACAACTGGAACATTACTCGCTTTATTCCAACTTCCGATCTGGTACCCGATTTCAGATTAGTGTAAAAAGATACATGAATAAATAGATGACTAACCTGACCATAACATACAATAATTAAGAAAATACAACTATGTCCAAAACTGGGGGATTAGAGTACAAAAGAATACGTCTAAATTACAATAGCTTTGGAACGAACAGAAAAGGCTATGGCAGTGAATCATACATCAAACGAAAGCTTATGATCTGTAGAATAGACTAGGGACAAAGGTAAATGTTACTGTTATACAAGCTTTAAATTAAATGAAATAACGTCTCCAAAATAGCTTCCGTAGTTTGTTAAGGCTTCTTGTTTCTCTGTTCACATCATTTCCATAGAACATTTCCTTTTTCTATATTAAATAACTGTGTCAATCAACATTATTCAATGAGAATAAGTATTGTACATTAAATTTTAAGATTTGAATAAAGAAAAAAAAAACGATCTAAACTTAGATGATCAAATATTTATATATTCAGTGTTGTAGGCCAATATTGCTCATTTGAAATAGACTATTTCTAATAGATGAATTCAAATACTTGTAGAAAATTCATTCATTAGTTCATTCTTCATCTTCTTGGAAATATTCATCAAGCTATGATTACTGTTTATTAGTCACCTTTTATTGATGTCACCATTGAGCTACCCGGGCCGCGACTGACCTCCTATAGGATTGAGATGTGTACCGCGTTAACGAGTACCTAATAACTCCAAACTTATCTCCAGGGTTTTCGATTCACTACTTCCAACCACTATCTCATCTCTTGAAATTGTGCACACGATATCGAGTCACGTAGAGTAGTTGCCACATTGTGGCCTGGTCGATAGAAATCGATCTGTACTAAGAAAAATGTGAAACATGACACTTCTCACTTACCCATTGATCAATCAATCAATTATATATATATATATATATATATGCATGCCTCAGACAAACTTCCATCGCTTTTAATCAATACTAACTGGTCATATGAGTATGTTTAAACTGTATTCCGATAATATGGTTGATTACACGTGAGATTCCCATTAATGATTTAATTTTGTTATGTATTTCCTTATTAGCTTTCTATAATAATGTTAAAAATGTTTTTCATATCATATGAACTAGAAATTTCAGTTGTTAATTATTTTATTCTTAAACCAATTGGATCATAACTACAAGTAGAGTTTGACTCATTGAAAATATTTCTTTCTCATGGATACTCATAGTTTTTTTCATTATTAATAAGTTTGTTACAATTATGATTCTCACATATTCATTATCATTGATAATGAATGAACCACCGAAGCAGGTGGTTTTCTTAGGGTGCCACACTCGGAGCCTTTAACATAAAGGTCTCATCCATAGGTCAGTGGTGCAACGTCAGTAGATTCAATGCCATGGTATCTGGTGACCAACGATTGGTTCATACGCCATTTGTCGGTTCAGGATGCTAGAGTCCTTGTGCACGATTGGTTTGGAATGAGGTTTCCCCAACTTCTCTAGGTTAATCCACCATATTCAACAACTTGGTTAAAGCGCCAGACATTCTTTTTTCGTCCTCTCAATTTCGTAGACAACATCCCGGTCGTTAGAAGGCAGTGAGTATGACTTGCCTGTCATTGACCGTATGAGAACATTTGGAGAGGGAGAGGTGACTTTTCCCATCCTCCGTCGCACCAGGGTGTTTGACGAATATGGGAGAAGGATTCTTTTTTTTTACCAAGCATAATAAATAGTCATGTTTATACAAATTATAAATATACATTTCCATTCACTATTCGATTTCTGGATTAGTTTAATGCTATTAGATTAACTGAATAGATATATATTAGCTCTTTCTGGAGTCACAGTTTACCGATTTCCACTTTCTATTAACATTTCGCTTAAACTAACATTTCTTCCGAGAATTACGTATCTCGATGGAAATTTAAATAATCCCAATGAATTTTTTTTTAATCATTTTTGATTGGATAATAAATATAACAGACACTTTATTCAATGTCAGCTTTATAGTTCTGATTGTAAATAATCATTAAATTTCATGAATTGTGAAGTACAGAGAACTTGACGCCATCATGATGTACAATTAAGTCTGATCTCATCAAAGCAATAATTTATTTACCTAGTTGGAACAACTCCATGAGTAGTCTCAAACTGTTCAGTTATATCATTTTGGATTATTTCAATGTTAAGAGATTTTATTGGATAGCAAATTTCTCAGGCTTATTTTCAAGGTAAGATGGATAGCAGCTATCAGTGGATCCAGGACGCACGTGTCATCCTATTTAGGACTTGTTAGCTTAATGTACCTGCATCGCAGATTTATTGTTCACCCTGGGACTCGAACCTAGTACCGTTCGTGTCAAACACCATCGCGTTATCCACTTAGCTACTGGTAGTCACCTGTTTGTGTAATCGGTTGAAGTTTGAATTCACTTTGCTCAAAAAGCTTGTTACTTAAGGCGATATCGAAGCAACCCGCTCAGGATGCACATATTCCAAATATAGACTGATCAATTGCAGTCCTAAAACGACAATGAAAGATACAAATAAACAATATCAAGTGAATTTATTTTTTAATTATTTATTTGCTGAAAATTCAGCAATCATATATGAAATAGAACTTCTTTTTAGTTGAAATCATGAGTCAATTGAAGCTAGACCACCATGGAAAACCTGGATGCACTGGGTGGCCGTTTTGCCCTATCGTGGGACTCCTCAGCAGTGCGTCGCCACGATCCCGTCTCGCGAGATTGGAAACCAGGACTTATCAGTCTCGCGTGTGAGCGCTTAACCCCTAGACCACTGAACTGGCATTCAACGGTGTTAATGTCTAATTCCAACCAATCAACAAAATTGAACAACCGTCCACTATTGTCTTAGTCCCACAATAAGACGAAACGGCCATCCAGTGTTTCCGGGTTTTCCATGGTGGTCTAACTTCAATTGACTCATGATTTTAACTATGAAAATACTAAAATCTCCACAAAACTCCCTTCTGAAAATAGGACTTTGTATATTAAGGCACGTTTGTTGTCCAAGGTTATGGATTTTGGCATAAATTTAGTTTCAGCTTTAAATGATCATATTCTATTATTAGTTCATAGCATTCTTCCCAAATACTCTTTTATTTATTAGACGTGAATCAATAACAGAAGAGGTCTTATCATCAACAACTGGAACAAGTCATCCACAACACATAAATCCATTTCGAGTGTATAACTCATCTTCACAAGTGGAATCAATTTCTTGTGATGCCTCATTTATTCCATCTCTTATATGGATTGGTTTAACTAAACAAGAATTTCATCTACAACCATATCAAGTTAAGTGTTTAACATTAAAAGCTTTAGCACCACAATTTGGAATATTTAACTTATGCACATTTAGTATAAAAGCAACACCTTTATTATTGTATAATTCACATTCCAATATAAATACAACTAATAAACCTTTATTAATTGATCAAAATATATTTCCAATATTTCTTTTTAAAAATCATAATATGTTATCTTTGGTTATTATAAAATAACATTGTATTCATGTAATTAACCACTGACTACCATGTATTCACAATGAACATGTCTGTTTTCATTTTTGTTAAGATGGATGATAAAGTAATAGTTCTCTCATTATCATTTTCAAAATGAGTATTGTCAATAAAGCATAATGATGATATAATTTGTCTACTTATCTACTTGCTTATTTGTCTACATTAGCCTTGGAGATATATATATCTCCAAGGCTAGGTATTTTTTAAGAGCGTAGATGGTATCTAATGTGTATATTAAGACTAATGCTCAAATGCTCCATCCATTTATTTCCTATTGATTATTCTTATTTCGTCTATATTCTCATCTGTGAAATTTTGATAAAAATAGATGAAGGGTTTAATAATAAAGTAAACGAATGTAAAGTAGCATACCTGCTCGTCTGTTTGTACTGTATTTGTTAATGTAGATTAATGTGAAATTATCTTTGATCTTTTGTTTTTCTATTCACAGTTCACAGTTAGTTTTGATTGGTAATGAACATATTTAACAATGTCATCGTAACACTGATTATATTTGCCTATATATATCATATGTGAGATTCTACAGAACTATTGGTATTGCTACCATCTAACTACTTTTCTTTATCTTGTCATTTAGTTATTTATGTTTCCTTCTGTCTAGTTCCCTTTTTTCTTATACATATATATTACTCTTAATTCGTAAACCTTCACTGTTGTATTTGTGAACACTCTTTGTGGTGTGGTTTATGTTTCATCGGTAAACTTTCAAAAGTAGTTTCCTTTTGAAGTTTTCTTTGTAATTATTTATTTTATAATTCTTCCTTGAAAGAAAATATACATTTTAATTGATATACCAAATAAACCCTGTTAGATATTTTTCTGTGAATTCAGTAATCTTGTCAGTTAAACAATGAAATGATTCGAATTTTCAATTTTCAATTGAAGCCAACAATCCTGATCTCTTGGTGATTCAGTTCATCATTTAGTTGCAACGAAGAACCTCCTACGTATGAACACTGGTTCAAATTGCCATACTTCATTAGCACAATGCGACAAAACGTCAGGCCAAATCCCAGAATGGTAGAGGTACAAATAGTATCAATCGTAATAAGAAGAATTAGATACTAAAGACACGACTCGAAAAGAAAATATAAATTAATAAAATAAAAACCAAAGGTTACGCAGGATTTAGAATATCAGAACTCGGGGAAAGACAAAGAATAGAAGCACCTGCGACACTGCAAACGATTTTGAACCATGTCATTCATAGTCTCTAAGCACTAGTTACGATAATCACGCTGACCCCAACAAGGTAGTCTATACCTGTTAACATTGGGAATTCCAGTTTTCAATGACTTCATGTTTTGGTTAGACCACCCCTAACTTTCTTCTAGCCTACTGCATCAGAAAACACCGCTCGTCGAGGTAGGCAGTGGTTGGGCATACGTAACACATGTTCGAACCGCCTCAATTGGTCAATATTTACTATCTGTTATCGATTTGGCGTTCTTAGTGAATAATCTATTCCTAACCATGGCATTGATTAATCAGTGATCCCAAAATACATAGACGACGCTTCGAAGATACTTACGATCAAATACTAGTAGCCTACAAATATTCTTAATTCCTAATGGCCATTTTGACATCTATAAAGTAGAACAAAATGAATTATTGCATAGTAAGTCCGTCTTTCGGTTGGCAGTAGGATGCCTCACCTACGTCACAGGTGATGCAAGTTGACAGAAGCCAAAGATGCTTTCTAAATCCTTGCGAGCTTTTGTGAGGCGCCAGACCATCAGTACTGGTGAGACTTCTAAGGTAAGTGATGGGTCCAACTACTTCACTCCTTACCACTGATTTAGGTACTGATCCAAGCAACATTTGGTAAATGGAGGGAGAGGATCATATCCTAAACATCCTTGCATTGCTGCTTAACATGATCAGAAGACTCAGCATTTTGTCAACGTCTGCATTAAATAGAATCATATCGATAGCATATTCTACGTCAACAAACGATTCGCCTGATAGAAGACCACTCCGTGAAAACTCACTAGATGAAAGTGTTATGTTTTGATAATGTTATGATAAAGTTAAATAGAGTGAGGAAAGCGATCACCACTTGAAGCAACCAATCCTGATGACAGTCCACCATAAGCTCTGACTCGACCAGTAGTGTTCGAGAAGAAATTCTATACAATGTAGTGCTTTGGTATGCTGTCTAATGAAAGACTGCGGTATAGCCCCACGATCGACGGAGTCGAAATCCGCCTCATCGAACGTCGATAAGTACGTCTGTCTCTGCTCACTGTTTTCGGAACCCGACTGTATGAATCGCCCAGTCTCAACCACTTCAGTAGACACCGCTGAAATCCTATGATGTTTCCTAACCTTTTGGTTTAAGTTACTAGTATATGCCACTGATGTTTCCACAAATTTTCGGATATCATTTCTCGCTGCCTCCGAGTGAATATCACTTCCATGGTTGACTAACTCCTCCAATTGTCCCCGAAATATAATCTAATTCTTTTCACCATTAGGTTGGCTTCCTGGCTGTGGCCTTTCTACGTCCAGTAAGACAGACAAACACGTTCTCGAACTAGACCATGATCCGAGTCTAGACATGTGTTCAAGAATGAGCATCAGTCCTATATTTAGCCTCGTACGTTGGCTGATGGCAATTCGGTCTCTTTGAATACATCGTCAGGTTGACTTTAGAAGTCACCACATCGGACTATGTTCCTCCTTATGTTGGTGTTTACTAGATGACTATATGAGCACAGCTGCAGCAGGCGGTCGCCATTATCTGTTCACTAAACCGCGACACCATAAGGCCCACTTAAGTGTCTTTCAGTTTGATCTACTTTGCCTAATGAGCATTAAAATCACTTGCCACTTCCACATTGTAAAAGGTTGGGAAGTTTCACATAAATTCCATCGTTAGCTTCATCTGAATTACAAACAGTGGGAGTGTAGACAGAGACAAAGGCATTTATATTTTCCAGTTCTTACCGTCTCTTTTAGTTGGGCAGCGCACAAGCGATTGTCTATCGGAATCCAGTCTAATAGAGCCTGTTCTACTTTAGAACTTAATGCCACGCCTACAACAATAGATGATTGTACTCAAATACTGTATGCGAGTTTTAGAGTGTTGAGATGTACGTCGAGATAACATCAAGGCTATACGGTCAGCTAAAAATACACAACAAAGGTTTGACCATTTTACCCATTTTAGATATAAATAATTCAGTCTATCATACTTTAGATAACTACTTAGTAAGGATCATTGAAGCGCTGCGCAAAGAAATTGTTAAGCATAGTGTCAAGGATCCCTTCGAATTTTTTGGTAATAAAAAGTCTGTTGGTCAAACATAACTGTGATATCTTCAGATGTATCGTCTTTACTGACTAACATTACCATACTGGAAACTGTATTTTATTTGCAGTGATCTAATAGAGAGAAGCTTAAAGAAACTTTAATTCTTGTACCTGCAGTAAAAGTTTTCAGAGAGATACATAGAAAATCCGCAATTGGACAATATGCTCATGTCTATGGTGCTATACCGATCAAATATAAAAGCAATTTAGTAGGAATACTGATTCAAAATGATTTATTTTGATGCTCTTGAAAATGAACGTGGTAATGTTCGCAACCTCCTTAGCAAGAATGGTTATCCAGAAAAGTTTATCAACGAACACATGAAAGAAAAGACCGAAGGTAATAACCGTTCTGCAGACAGTAGTTCTTGAAACATTCTATCTTAAATGGAACTACAGAGGGAATAACTCAAAGATTAGAAAATGCAGCGCAGAAAATATCTACTGATGCTAAACTGAATCCGGTTTTCTACGGTTCTTTGATGATATCCACCAATAAAATCATACGGTTTGAATCAGCCACACTTAAGTGTATCTATCAATTAGATTACTCCTGTAGAGCCAGTCGAGATGCACAATTCGACAAGTCCGTCGTTACATAGCGGAATACTATTAATATTATTTGGGTAAAGGATAGTCAAGAATTGTAAAGTGTTCTATTCTTGTTCAATTAATGGATAAAGAATGTCAAGTTGATCTGAATAAAGTTTTTAGGTTATTCGCCAGATCCCATCAAATTTACAACACGGTTTACGAGCTAGTGTTTCGAATACTACTGAAGCCATCGGGATCTTAACCTAACCTTTACATTCAAAAGAAGTTTGTACAAACGCTATTTTTACCTAGATCATCGCAAAGAAGTTTGTTTTATGAACTTCGATCAATCCAATTCACCAGAGGGGGCGTCCTCAGTTTTATTTTCATGAGGTTGACTATGTCGATAAAATGGTAGACACCATTAACACTTTCCAGGTAGTAATAGTAAAATCTTCACCAAACTATTTTGTACATATTCAACATTAATGTTAGACTTATTATGTGATACAAACTACAGTACCGCATTTCTGAACACCCAACACCTTTTAAAAATGTAAACCCAGATAGCTTTATGACAGTTTGGAGCAAAGCGAATGAGCATAACTCCGAGAACAACTGGATAATGTGGTTATTTACATATTTCACGTTGTTGAAAATTATATGAAAATATTATAAAAATTCCGACGCATTATTATTATTCTGATGATGTCATTGTTGACAAACTATCAGTCATCAGAGAAGTGATTTGTTGCTTATCTGTAGCTGGACTGGAAGTGTAAAACACTACACAATATATTTTACTTGCCTCCAAAGTCCACGTTTCAGTCTCCCTATCAGAAAAAAAAAACTGGATCTTAAACCGCATTGTCTTTTTCGGGTCCCACCTGGAAATTTGACAGCTTCTTATAATTGGCGAAACCCAGAAAACTAATTACATATTTGAATATGATGGAACATACTAGCTGGACTATATCACTAACATCAATTCTACCTCATTAGACTAGTTTGGGCTGTATAAGTTAAATATATCACACAATGGCTACACAACAGCTCTAAACAATAAGAATAACCACCACTGAATATTGAGCACAAAAATTTGTGAGAGTCTTTCATTGAGTGACCCCCTCTGAAATTATGATTTCTTACAAATAATTATCAAGTAATTACAGGTAATAGACATAAGGTATTAAAATCAACATGCAATTCAGTTAGAAAATAATAAATTTTGAAAAAAATGGAATTTATCTTTTATACAGAGCAGAACAGAGTAGAAATCCCCTTCATCTGGCGGTACAATCACTTATTTACCTTGCTAGTATTTTAATTTCATATAAACTTCTTGGTACGTGTACGTTTATTATCAGAGTCAACTCCATGATATAAAAGTCTTATAACTTGCTAAATGAATTCTCGGAAATTTCACGCAGTTAGTTCCCTTTATGAATTTAAATAAAGATAGAACAAATATTGATGCAGAATAATATGAATTCATTATATTTCGTGCTTTCTCATCAGCTGCTTACAACCAAATATGCATTAGAGTTTTAGCATTAGGGTAATAAATAGAATGGAACAACTGACATAAGGGAATGTAAAGGATTGGAATAACAAAAGTCATCGATGATAACTATATATATATATATGGTCAAGGAAAGGTCAGAGGTTATTAGGTATTAGGATAAAGGGTGGCGTAATAGTTGAGTGGAGTTCAGAGACAGATAAAATCAAAATGTGATTATGTTAGAGGTAGTTGAAAACAATTAGTGTGGGATTACGTAATGATTTAATAATTTATAGACGTAGTTGAAAACAATTAGGGTGGGTTACGTAGTAATTGAATAAGATTTGGATAGTTCATATAATTAGGAGAGACAAATGAGCGGAAATGTGTGAGAGAAAGGGTGGTTTAAGAATTGGGTATAAAAAACAATTGAATATTAACCAAAATTGAACTAATAAAAAAACTGAAACAAAAATGGGTTACCAAGGTAGTAATAAGTTTATCACTGTCTCTTTTTGAATACATAGGTCCGGTTTGAGTTTTTTTATCGCGATCGCCTCAGCAAACCGGAGAGCAGTTGTACTTCTTTGTTTACTAATGTTTTTAAAGGCATTAGAAATGTTGATGCTGTGCCCGGTGTCGAGTAAATGCCGAGCTATCGCACTGTTGAGAGCCCTGGACCCTTGCAACCTCAGTTTCTTTGGAATATGCTCAGAAATGCGGATATTATTATTATTCTGCATCAATATTTGTTCTATCTTTATTTGAATTCTCGGAGCCTAATTATCCGTTCTGTCAATAACCTACTATTAGAATGAATCTAAGTGATGAACCCTTAATTTCGATGTGATTCAATCGCACACTTTATGGGTTGTTGTAGATGAACTTCGAAGTTGTTTGTTTTCTTGTGTGAAAAATCTTCGTATAATTGTTCTTTTGACAGTTCTGTAAGAGTTAGCTTTGATGATAATTGTTCACTAGACTAGTTGTATAGAAAAACCAAATAACTAAGACATTATTACAAGTATGAATTATTTGAACCCATAATGGAGTTTACAGGATCAACCAAGAATTGACAAGATGATATCAATCAGTAAATATGAACATAAATAAATGAACCGTTAATCTTATTTATAAATCAAAAATTTTGCATATCTAGATGTGGTTCTATGTTTCATTGATTGATGGAAGCATCTAATTTTTAGTAAATTGGTTGTTTAAATATTTCGCTACGTACCACACACACTTAATAGTTAAGACCTATTCATCGCTCCTGTGTTAGATTAAAGAACGGCAAAAAAGCTGAATTATTGCGAAAACAACAGGTTAATTTGAACTATATAACCTACATATAATGATCCACGATATGGACCTGAAAATTAAAACATAAAATACAGTTGTGCCCATCCGTATAAACAATAAAAAAAGAAATAATAAAATTTACGGAAAAAGTGGTTTATTTGAAGAGATCGAACATTTTCAGGATATAACACCACAGATATAATAACTAATTAGTTGGAACAGTGAATTAAGATACATACAATTACACTGTATATTATATCATAAACATACCCTCCTTTCAATAACATGATCAATTATACTATTTATATAAATATTTCACTTTTAATACATAATGTATTATTCAATTTTCTCAATTAATCACAGAAGAAAACAACAGCACAATAATGTCAAAAGCAAATGAAAACAAGTATCCACCTTTTTTTTTTAAAAAAAAAAAGAGGAAAAAAAGTTTTACACATTTCCTTTGATAAATTTTATGGAAATTTATTGGAATAGAATTAAGATGAAGCATGTCAAATAAAGTATTGAATAGCTAACTAGAACAAATAGGATTCATCTTTTTTTTTATCAATACAGTAATGTATCATAGCAAAGATTAAACATAAACTCACATACAAACTGAGGAAATTAATGTATGTGAATAGATTTTGAAGAAATTTTCACGTAACGATAATGATAACAATTTAAAATATAACTGTTGTTGTAAGTTTATAGATCATTTACAGAACAAAACGACCCAAGAAGAGACCAATGATTAAAGCTGTGATTAAATATAAAATCGGTGGGATATTGCTAAAAGTATCAGCTCTGATTTGATTATGATGACGGCCATCATTGGCAGTCATGGATCTAGCACCATATTCAGTAGGCATTCGACATGTATCTGAGATAGCTGCTGTACGTCGTAAATGAAGATCCGATTCCTACGAACAGTGAAAAACCATAAATAATGATAAAAGATTATAAAAAGTCAAGACAATTGTTATCACAATACTCTAAATGTTTCAGGTAACAAAAGTTTAATTTAAATAAGTTATAATACCTTTTTTATGAAACTACGTTTAGTTAATTTTATATATACAGTGGTATAATAAAACTTTCGAAGGATACAGTGAAAGAAGTATTTAATTACACCATGAGACAAAGTTGTTAATTAGAAACTAAATAATCAACTAGCTGAAATCATGAGTCAATTGAAGCTAGACCACCATGGAAAACCTCGAAGCACTGGATGGTCGTTTCGTCCTATTACGGGACTCCACAGCAGTGCGCATCCACGATTCCGCACTTGCGAGACTTGAACCCAGGGCCTACCAGAGCACTTAACCGATAAACCACTAAGCCGGTCTAGCTTCAATTGACTTATGATTTCAACTATAAAAATACTGAAATCTCCACAAAACCCCTTCTAATCAACTATCTGTTATTTTATCTATACCTGTTATGTCCCCCCTCCACAAAACGATAGATCTTTACAGATCAAGAATCGTTACATTCATTTAGACAAGTATAACGAGTTATTATTATTATTGTTTAGTAACACATCCTATTAGGGAAAACAATAATCAGACTTAATATGGTAGCTTTATTTACCTATTCATTCAAAGTATAGAAAGATCTATACGAAATTTTGTCTACAAGATACCTGATAATAGTCACCAGACAGTTTCATACAAGATAAATTGTAACCCTGAGCATATACATACAATAACTGAACAAATAAGAAACTATGGACAATGCTTTCAGTTCTATCAATAAATTATAAAAGATATTGTTTATTAAATAAAGAAAATAAATCAAGACAACAGAAAACTTTACTATAAACTAGAGATGTATGTTGTTCAAGTCAGTCAGCTACAACGTAGGACCAGGCACATATATGCATCGGTCCAAGTTGCCATACCTCGTTAGCACAACAAGATCAACACCGGATTCATAGAAGTAATTAATTTAACGGTGGTAGTATGTAAAAGATAGGTTGTATATAAGGATATAGTACAGGAAGGAAGACAGATATGAAGCAATTTTAATCTCAAGGTTTAAGGGAAGATAAAGAGTGTATACACCTACACCATTGCGATCGATTCTGAACCATGTCACCTAGAGTTTCCAACCATTGGTTACGATAGTCACACGGACCCCAGCAAGGTAGTCTGCATCTGCCAACATGGCTCAGATTAGAAGTTAGTGACTTCAAGCACTGATGCCACGTTTTGGTTTGGCCGCCCCTAAGTCTCTTCCAACCATCCCCTACACTAGTCAATATTGCGCGTCGTGGTAATTGGTGTTCAGGCATACGTAACACGTGGCCTAACCATCTCAGTCGATGAAGATTCATGACCTCATCATTTCCTAATATCCTGTGTTATACCTTTGTTTATTTTTTAGTTGAAAACTGGTGTGCATAAGTTTGGATATAATTTTGAAGCTGAAAACATAACAATCATACTGGACTACTGATAAAAGCAATTGAGATATCTATTTTTATCAAACTTTTTGAAAGCAAAGCAATCAACTAGTACAAGAAGCATTGATGAATAACTGTCTTTAGTATAACATCAGAATGATATTGTTGCAGTGGGGCAAGAGTCAATAAGCATTTATTGTTTTATGACCTTTATTTTTTCTTTTTAATCATTCATTTGTTGTATGTTAAGAAACTCGACCAGATATTTTATACATAATAATTGTTTCAATTTTCTAACATATATTAGACGTACTCAGTCGGTCGTCGATTAATGGGTTTTATCTTTTAAAATTCACTACAACACAAACTATTTCTACTACATGAGTCATATTATATTATCGAATTAAGTAAACTATAATAACAGAGATAAACTGACCCAATCGGATATAAACATCAAGTATCTTCAGGGTTTGTCATTTATGATATTTATTGTTAGGTAATGAGGTTTGTAACGATCAATTCAATTTAACTAATTAAAAAGCCCTTGATTCAGTTAGCACAAAAAGAAATGGTCTCACTGTTTTAAATAAATTGTACAGTTTGGTGTTGAAGTACCGAGTTTAAAGTTTTAAAAATAATTAATTCTTATGCAGATTATTCATATTAGAATTCTTCTGATATTTGATAATTGTGTGAAGACTATACCTCTTCAGAGATTTAATGGCTTTACATACTAAAGCATTTTTAACTAGTACCAGGAACCATTTTATAGTTTCTTCCTTAAGTTTGTCTGAAGTATAGACATTTACAGTGTAGAGAGTAAAGAAGGACTGTAGAAAAGTAATTTTCCACTAAGATCGAACTCAAAATTTCCGTCAGTTTTTTTACAAGACAAAGAACGACGAAAAGCCTCAGTTATGCAAAAAAAATAAAGAGTTCTGTTCAGTTTCACACCAGAAGACTCCTTCAGTTAAGAAAGTTAGAACCACTCTTTATGAAGAAAGTAAAAGAAGGTTACAGCAGGCTCGTCACTGGCTTCTATTCTGAGCCATGTCTGACAACGTCTCTAGCCACTGTGTTGCACCATTTCTCGGACCCCAGCCAGGGAGTCGTGAAGGACCAACAGAAGCCAGCCCTTTGCATCTTTCTTTCATGCCACGACACCATGTCATACACTGACCACCTCTTTGTATGTTTTAACCAGTCCCAGAGTCGGCAGATAATGCACAACGTGGAATTATCTGGAACGACATTCGTTAAATATGTCCAAGCCACCGAAGTCTATTTTCAAGATGCTGACACCAATTGAATTATCGTCTCTGCTCCCGGACACACGATGCCGAACCTCTGCATTACTAACATGGTGTTGCCACTGGATGTCAGCAATCCTTCGGAGACAACGATGATCGAACACAGAGCGTCGTCTAACATCCTCAACTCGGGGAGGCCAGGTTTCACGAGCATGGAGCGAAACCGTTTTCACCGACGCGTTGTAGATCCGATCCTTTACAGCCCGACTAACATCACGAAGGTGCCAGAGATGGCCCACATTGGCATAAGCCGTTCTGGCTTTCACTATACACGGAATGATCTCATCACTCACGCCACCACCAGAACTTATGCAGCTGTCTAGATACACGAACTTCTCGACTACTTCAATCTGCTCACCATCCAGAGTGAAAATGGAAGTGGTTTGGAAGAAAGTTAGGGGTGGCCAAACCAAAACATGAAATCAGTCCATGAAGTTGTTACATCCCGATAACAACAGTGAATGGTAACTTTTGGTTCCATTTATGAACTAATATTATATATATATATATATATATATATATATAACAGAAGTCATCGACAATCGGACTTCTCAATGTTAACAGGTGTAGACTATCTAGTTGGGGTCAGCGTGGTTATCGTAACTAGTGCTTAGAGACTATGAATGACATGGCTCAAAATCGTTTGCAGTGTCGCAGGTGCTTCTATTCTTTGTCTTTCCCCGAGTTCTGATATTCTAAATCCTGCGTAACCTTTGGTTTTTATTTTATTAATTTATATTTTCTTTTCGAGTCATGTCTTTAGTATCTAATTCTTCCTATTACGATTGATACTATTTGTACCTCTACCATTCTGGGATTTGGCCTGACGTTTTGTCGCATTGTGCTAATGAAGCATGGCAATTTGAACGAATGTACATACATATTAGGTGCTACCTCGTGATTGACTGGATAAATTATGCCTTAATCCTAGCTTAATTTTAAATTATTTTGCCATGATACCAGGACATGATCAAAGACAAGTTGTTATATCCTAGACATAAGTACGGGTAACTCCCAGGACCTATTAATGGACTATTATTCTATGTATATTCCTATTGTTTAACTATTGAGTAACTAGGCTGTGTACATCTATATTCATCTTATTATAAGCTTCATTTTGACCTATTGATTACTATTATACGATTTACTGTTCTTAAATTATACTCACTTTAAAGACTACAGTCTCCCACGTTCACAGCCACATTTGGCTTGATCTTGTACAAATATTATTTTCTATTTTATGGTATGATGCGGTCTGTCTGGTATATAAACAGAGTATGCTTGAAATAAATGATTCGCACAGATTCGTATAGCAGAAGCTGAAGTTGGTGTTCTGGACTCAGTTGGAAGGGCTAGGCGGACAAGTGGCCAATAAGGACGCTAGACTACTCATACTGGTCGAACATCATGGATTTGTCAGTGTTAAGATTAGACTAGTCGTATTTCGATTGGCGTATAATTCACGTGATAAAAGTTGGACATAAAAATCAATAACGAATTAGCATACGTCTTATTTTTTTATAAAGTCATAACACAAGTGGGTCCCTAAGAAAACCACTTGCCTTGGTTTGGGCGCCCGAGCGGTAGTCCAGCTCTTACACAAATTGAATGACGAAGTGTAGAGTATTTATATTTGGTGTCTCCTTGGACCAATGTGTTAGCGGGACATGGATTGGATTAAAGCATATTCCATGCAAGACTGTGTTGGCTAATCCAATCAGCGCTAGTCGATACCTGGAGGAGACTCTAGAATCTTCTCATGTAAAAACTATAAATATCCTAACGTATTTCTTATTTTACTTCTTATTTCCATCTATCCTTGTTATTCAACTGTGTTCTGATTTGGGGACTTGTCGAGTGAATTGGCGTCTAAGAATACTAAACAATAACAATAGCTGGGTCGTGATAAGTGAAATTATAACACAATGTTTGTGTTTAAATAAATAAATAGATGGAGCAATTAGGATGCCATAACATTTCGTAACATGTAAATGTGGAATTTTCTGTTTATTCGTCGTTACCGAGCAGCCAAATCATTAGATGTGCCTGGTGCTCCGAAATTAAAAGAATACACCACAAAGGCTACTCTTTGGCACAACAGTAGGATATCATGGCGTATAGTGGTAAATGGTAGCTGAATTAAACAACGAAAAATCTATGTTAAATTACTGTTTGTAAGATAATTCGACTCCTCTGCAGTTTGTGAAAACGGTTCGCAAAGTGATGCTTACCAAGCCTGCTTCCAAAACATAGTATTTAGGAAAACAAAACAATTTCAGATTTGTATTTGCTACAGGATATAATATTACCTTCAGTGCAGCATTTTCTTGGCGAAGAGCAGATATTTCAGCCATTAACTTCTCAATATCTGTTTGGGTCACACTAGTATCATGTACAGGTTTCTAAAAATGTGCGTTAAATTAAGTTTTTCACTTACAGATGATGCAATTTGCTGTTTGCAAACTTCTATTTTTTCCTCCTAAACATTTAAAATACAACAGAAATTAACTTACAATGCCTGTGTTTTTGAAAACACATTTTAGGTAATAATCCGTCACCTTTCCTTCTTTAAACAAAGCCTACTGTATTAATTTTTTTAATAAACCCACTGTTTGATCTTTCTTTGGATCTGCTCCTTCCGAAGCAACGGCAGATTGAATTAACATTCTCTCACGATTTTTTGCTGTAAAGTCGAAATCATTGGGATGGAACACAACTATACAAGATCGTAACGAAAAAATGTATTATACCTGAGATCTCCACATTTTCATGAGAAGATATAACACCTACACTGGGGGTGGCAGAAAAGTGATCTGGGGACGATGCGCTAATCTTAAAGCAAACGGGCTGCAAAGAAGGGTTGGTCAGTTTCACAACAGATGTAACAGGTCTCACAAAAGGACCTAAATGAGTTAATACTTAAAAACAAAGAAAATAACCTTCGAAGACTAAATCCCGGCAAGGTTCAACATGAAGCTCATCAGGCGAATGTAAAATACAAAAGAGTCGTGAGTCCATGAGCTTGCTATGAGGTGTATCCTTCCACTTAGGAAATAAATACTTAAGTTTTAGCTAATTACATACCAGCTGCTCTGTGGTAGGACGAGGGTCATCAGGAGCAACGATAGACTGAATCATAAACTTATGATTAAACTTTTCTGCGGCATTGTAACTAAACGGCTGGAGCATTACTGAAAAATAAGTATTTACCCCAGACAAAAGCACAAAACAAACCTGCAACCTCTATAGTTTGATGAGGCTCGATATATCCGTTGCTTGGTTTTACACAATAACATTTTGGCATTGTTGTCTTGACTTTAAACCCGACGGCTCGGTCCAAAGGATTTGTCAATTTGATATAAGAAGTTACTACATCGACGAAAGGACCTACAGGAAAGCCATATAAATGATGAGGGAAAAATACACGTAATTGGAATGAAGTGTTGATGAAAAAAAGACCAAAACGATTTAAGTCAATAACCGGCTACCGAATCACTTGGAAATACGTTAAAGGCTCCGGATACCAGTCAGTCAGCTACAACGCGGGATACCGCTATGAAAGATACGTTTACCTTGTAGTCAGATTGGTTGGAACACTGAAGAGTCGTAAGGTCCAGACACCAGAGACATAAATTTCAACAACACAACTCATTGACCAGGAACAGGTTTACGTATTCAGCTTTCAACCGCACTTCTGGGGAGCACTGGTGACACTACTCGGTCACCCGAAGCAAAGTGAAGTGCTCGAATTTGCGACCTGTTGTTTTGATCCCAAAAGCTGAAACCACAACACGGCTTCAGTAATTTAGAATTGGGAAACACTAGTAAAAACCGATGAGGTTTTTCCAACGTATCTGTACAGATCTTGCTTTTTTGATGAATGTGAAGCAGTGATGAGAAGTGACGCATGTATTCCTGGGCTACCCAAACCGAAACCCGACAAACAGTAAGAATTACTCCTGGTGACTGCATACAGTATTAAGCCAAATATGTATATAAGGTATGAACAGATAGGATAAAAAGATTCAGGATATATAAGAGAAAGCCTTCGTTCTGGTCGAGGATGCATTGATCACTTCTTTACTCTCCGACAAATGTTAGAACACCGTCATACTTATCGCAGGCCAACAAACGTAGTGTTTCTTGATATCAGGGCTGCCTTCGATTCGTTGGACAGGACTGTTCTCTGGGATTTTCTATTGAAGAGGGGTGTGCCTGAGAAGTTTATCAACATCTTAAAGGCCCTGTATACGAACACCTCAGGCAGAGTGAGGGCATACAACCATCTTTCTCCCTTGTTCCATTCAAGCAGTGGGGTTAGGCAGAGTCACCTGATCTCACCATTTCTCTTCAACTTTGCCATCGATGACATGCTGGAAACAGCTCTGATCGATGTAAGTAATGGCGGTGTGGATCTGCTGCCTGGAGAACGACTTCTCGACCTTGAGTATTGTCTTACTGTGCGATAACGCCCAAGGCATGCAATCCGCACTTTATCAGTTGGCAATTAGTGTCCGCATGTACGGCATGTGTTTTGCACCATCCAAGTGCAAAGTACTCCTACAAGACTGGCAGGATTCTAATCCTGTACTCACTCTGGATGGTGAGCAGATTGAAGTAGTCGAGAAGTTCGTGTATCTAGACAGCTGCATAAGTTCTGGTGGTGGCGTGAGTGATGAGATCATTCCGTGTATAGTGAAAGCCAGAACGGCTTATGCCAATGTGGGCCATCTCTGGCACCTTCGTGATGTTAGTCGGGCTGTAAAGGATCGGATCTACAACGCGTCGGTGAAAACGGTTTCGCTCCATGCTCGTGAAACCTGGCCTCCCCGAGTTGAGGATGTTAGACGACGCTCTGTGTTCGATCATCGTTGTCTCCGAAGGATTGCTGACATCCAGTGGCAACACCATGTTAGTAATGCAGAGGTTCGGCATCGTGTGTCCGGGAGCAGAGACGATAATTCAATTGGTGTCAGCATCTTGAAAATAGACTTCGGTGGCTTGGACATATTTAACGAATGTCGTTCCAGATAATTCCACGTTGTGCATTATCTGCCGACTCTGGGACTGGTTAAAACATACAAAGAGGTGGTCAGTGTATGACATGGTGTCGTGGCATGAAAGAAAGATGCAAAGGGCTGGCTTCTGTTGGTCCTTCACGACTCCCTGGCTGGGGTCCGAGAAATGGTGCAACACAGTGGCTAGAGACGTTGTCAGACATGGCTCAGAATAGAAGCCAGTGACGAGCCTGCTGTAACCTTCTTTTACTTTCTTCATAAAGAGTGGTTCTAACTTTCTTAACTGAAAGAGTCTTCCGGTTGTACATTTCAGTCTCCCTTATTTTTCATCCTTTCTCCTCCTATTTTTATTGTTTTGTGTGGCGCATATGTATCTGGTGCTTTTTTGTACCAATATGTATGTGTTGAAATAAAATAAAGAGAAAGCCAGGGATATAAGTAGCTTGGGCTTACGGATTTCTTTTATCAGAAATGTGTTAGGGATACTTGTTCTCGAGAATGAACAAGTGACTAAGATCAACATGAATAACACTCCAAAAAGTGTTTGGGATGCTAATCACTCGTTTTAAGTCAAAAATGTCAAGAACCAGTCCATATCATCTAGTAAGACTAGAGGAAGGATATCAATTACAGCATCTATATGAGAATTCTTGGCCTAGGTAAGATGGTAGTTGAGAAAACCACAGGACTCGTACTAAAATGTTGTTTGACTTTCGACAACTCTACTTGTGCCACAAATGAAATGTTTGCCAACCCACATAAAGCCGGTTTACTACGAAGCGACCTATATTGTACCACTTTCGGCTGTGTCCTCTAAGGTGAATAATTCAGTAGGGCAGCTCTTACTGTCTGTCAACATCGGCAACCATCTTGGCTACCATTTAAGTTCTCTTTCAAATCCACGAATATTCCCAAATTATTTTCATTACTTAAAATTGTGAAAAAAAACTTGAAAGTAACAGGTATCGGTGTAGGTTTAGCCTTTGAACATTAATATCTTCAGGCGACTATTTGTATGAATCAATTGGTGAAGTCACGGAACTATATCAACCCGAAAACAGATATCACTTTAGCGTATCATGGCAAATCGAGAGAACGTCAGAGACTATCTGGTCAAAATGCCAATCCATGAAATTGTTAAGCGCTGATTCGGATAATGTGGGCAACAGCAGAACTCCTGGAGGGAGTCTGAGATGGCTGCCATTTGCGGTCGCATACCTTAGTGAAGGTGGTTTATAAGTAGTAGTCACGACCCAAGACAATTTATTTCTGCTTCTCGCATAGTAAGTTACGTTTGGTACTGAGCCGTATTCACAAGCAACGGGAGTACTAGCGATATGCTTAACATATGACAAAACAGGATTAAATGATATTAAGTACAAATATAAAAAGACCCTGTCGTCTCGTCTGAGAGGAAAGACTATGACTTGATGTACTTCTTGTGCTAACGTCCAGTCGGGTGGTGACTGTATTTCGACAAACACATGAAAACTCAGGCCATAATATCTATTGTTCTCTCCATCAAAATATTTTTCAGAGCGATTTATGGAGTCCAGAAACTCAGATCAAACAGAGCTATTTCGAAATGTTCATGGCGAAATCGTATAACTAAAGTAATATGAATTGTATGAATTAGTATACATCAACTGATCCCCTATGGATATCGAACACTATGTTAAGACTTCACTAAGGGCATATTATCTTAAATGACAGATTATATTAACTACCTTCAAATATCAGTTCATTCTTCGGCTCAATCTGCAACACTTGTGCAGGGCTACCTGCCATTCGAAAGGAGACCTGAACAACAACGAAACCGAAACTCCCAACTCGCAACCAATTATTTTAATTCGGTGCCCAAACAATTTAGGGAAGGAAAATAATTTCAATCTCAAGTCAGAAGTATAAGTTTACAACATCTATTGTGATTTCTCTGGTATAGATTATTTTGTCAACAAATTTCAATGTTCCAATAGGATATTTAGAAAGAAAGCCGGTGCATGGAAAGATAATGACCAAAATTAGATCTATATTATTCACAATTATAAACACGTTCCTCTTGATATTATCCTTGAATATGTCTATAAAAAATTATTGTAGCTTTCAACCGATAGTAAACTGAAGCTATATATATTTTGTGATAGGTAAATCCTCAAAATATAAAGCTCTTTAAGTCTTTGACATTTGATCCTGGGCACATTAGTTTTGATGGAGTCACTCAGCTGAAGTCATTCGGTCATGTATCCACACCCGTTAACGAGTGGGTATGGAGCGTTACATATTTCCTACGAACTCTAGACACTTCACGTAAAACGACAGCATATAAAATGTATCCTCCGGTATATTTGCTTCTGACAATGACGTGGGTGAAATGCCACTACGACTAAACCAAATCATCCGGTATTTGAGCCACTGAATATCGAACAGATCATCGATCCTTGTTAAAGTCAAGGACAAAAAACGCACATCAGTTAGTCGTACACCATGTACTGACACATGCGTTAGTGGTATCACTAACATCTCTGTACTCGTTCTTGCTAATATATTTACGTAATAGCGTCTTTTGTGTCATACGGTCTCCAAAGCATCCACAGTACTTTGATAAGTCGACGGGTTAATCCACGTTAGATACAGACCTCGAGGTGTAACTTCGAAGTTAGCTGGTCCGTCACACCATTCCCGTTTAACTCGAAGATAGCACCAGTATTGTAGTTTGACAACACTTTCCCAGTAACACCTTCTATAATCGAATCGTGCCCAACCAGTAAAAACAAAAGTCAGAAGCGAAGGGGTTGGTAAATATATTTGATGCTGAAGTTACGACTAGTAATCCGATTTTGCAACCTGCTACCAGTAGCACCTTCTACATACGAAGCTTTTCCCCGATCAGTGGAAATCAGAAGTCAGACGAGAAGAGTTAGGAAAGATATATTTGATCCGTTATCAATATATCGAGGAGCGTTTACTCTAATCTGGCTAGTGAACGTAGGAGCTGTTTCCCACGCTGGGTCGTATCATGATCTAGTACGGATGCATGACCGAACGTCTTCAGCTAAACAAGTCCACTTAAAACAATGTAGTCAGCATCCAATGTCGAACACTTAATGAGCTATTGATTTTAATAATAATAATATATTCTGAAAATAATATTTACAGGATTCGCACCAGTTTACAGGCATGATCAGATTGTTATAAAAATCAACATTTAATGTAGAGAGCAAACATGAAATATAAGAAAGTTTTATGTTTGCTGGTTTAGTAATTGATAAATAGCTTATATATGGCAGGCCGATGCAGCACCAAGGAACTTGTCATTTTTTCTTAAGTGGATAGCCTGATGTTCTGTAAGGTTATTTCTAGTGCCAAAGCGAGTTATTGATAATTATCTACAACTAGAGAAAGTAAAATAAAAGCAAAGAGCACGGAACAACAAAACAATGATAGCAAGTAAGAGGTTAAACACTTAAAGTTCCGATAATCTCACTTGTGGAGTAAGATACACTTGCAGGCGCTATCGCATTTAATGCATTTTCAGAGGAGCAAAAGGCATTAATTGAGCGAACAAACAATGGGAGAGAGTTTAACATACGGATAGTTTAAGGTAAATTATTCCTGAGCCTAGAAAACTTACAGGTAAAGTAGTTAATATAGAGAGAAGATCTAGAATATGTTTGTTTGGCTAAAGACAAGGAGTTACGAATGTCGTAATATGAGGATTTAGCGTATTGAATCGCCTGGCTGGATGTAAAGGAGAGTTTGTTAAGTATTTTGAAAAAGAAGATAAGGTTAAGATTGAATCTACTCTTCCATAAATGGTCAAGCCCTTGTAGCTGTAAATAATTCCTCAAAATCAATAGCTCATTAAGTGTTCGACATTGGATGCTGACCATGTTGTTTAAGTGGACTTGTTTAGCTGAAGGCTTTCGGTCATGCATCCGCACCAGATCACGTTTCAACACGGCGTGGGACACAGCTCCTACGTTTCATTAGCCAGCTCATAGAAAAGGTCCTCGATATATTGGTAACGAATCAAATATATCTTTCCTGCCTCTTCTCGTCTGACTTCTGATTTCTATCTGACTGGGAACAACCGAATTTAGAAGGTGCTACTGGTATCTAGTTGTAAAACTAGAATATCTGTTGTATCCTCAGTGGTGAGACCGACGTGATCTGGTACACCAAGCCAATATACTGTGAGTCTGTTCCATTTTGTAATATTATTATTCATTGTTATTCTTTATTTGAATTTTATATACTGTGATATACTGTTTTTTTTCGCGAATTTTTTTCCCGGATATATTTTAATTAGACATTTATCGTTATCTATATTACTATGGCGGAACACTCACCCAAGGTTTTTAAGTTAAAGTCCATTCCCCCTATTTCGATTCAGTTAACGCCATTTTGGCCCGACAATATCGAGTCCTGGTTCTGCTATGCAGAAGCCGATTTTTGCATGCACGGAATCACGGACTCGCGCACACGTTTCCTCGCGGTAGTTAAGGCGTTACCGCGCGAGTTTAACAGGTACGTAACACCTAGTATGTTTACTAGTGATGTTTCCGAACCTTACGAATCGCTTAAGCTATCGATTTTAAAACGAGGAGACCTAACTGATCGACAACGGTTAGACCAACTCCTTAACAATATCGACTTGCAACATGGTTCTGAGACGGACATGTTGCTTAGAATGAGAGAAGTCATCGGCCAACGAACTTTCGATGATGGCCTATTTAGACAACTTTTCTTGTCTAAACTCCCTCAACAGGTGCAGGCAGTGCTTGTTTCATTTCAAAACAATGCCATAGATGAACTAGCTGCATCTGCCGATCGAATCTTGGAAATCACCAAATTTTCTAAGGCCGAGGTTTTTTCCATCAATGAAAAACCCCAATCGACCTCGACTGACATGGCCGAACTATGTCACACGCTTACACGATATCTTAGAGTTTCGCAATGACCGTAGTCGGTCAAAAACCCCGCGTAGAAGCGCCTCACGTAAGCGATCTGGCTCTCGATCACGAGAGACAGACAATCCCGACTGGTGCTGGTATCATAACCAGTACGGTAAGTTTTCCAGAAACTGCAGGAAACCTTGCAATTATCCGACCCCGAAATCGAGTGACACGAAAAACAGTTCGGGAAACTTCCCAGCCGGCACGCGTTAACGGCAACCGTAGCCAGCGAACACAGCCGCCTCTTATATGTCACGGATGTGACTACGAAAGTTCGCTACCTCGTCGACACTGGCGCAGAAGTTAGCGTTCTTCTAGCAAATCTCGCGACAGATTTCGCGAGTCTGTTTTAAGTTTACAGGCGGCAAACGGAAAGCCGATCGCTACTTACGGTAAAAGGTACGTCTACCTTAACGTGGGTTTACGTAAACCCATACACTGGATTTTCGTGGTTGCAGATGTCTCTATGCCAATCATTGGTATTGACCTGTTATAACACCACAATCTACTCATCGACACACGCTCACGAAGGTTAACAGACGGAAACACTAAGTTATCCGTTAGCGTAACTCCTTGTTCTGGTTGCAGGTTATCCCCAGTCACGATTAAGCACGCCATAGACCCCTTGTACTAAGCAGTACTCGACAAATACCCCGGGATATACCAATCGCAATCGAAATTACCTTGTGTAACCAGCAATGTTACACATCACATCTCGACTACAGGACCACCTGTATTTTCGAAAGCCCGAAGACTCGCTCCCGAAAAGCTTAGGTTAGCTAAAAACGAATTCAACCACATGATTGACATAGGAATAATTCGACCATCGAATAGTCCATGGTCATCCCCATTGCACATGGTCCCTAAAAAGGACAGCAATGATTGGCGGCCAACTGGTGATTATCGGCGTCTGAATGCTAAAACCATTCCCGATCGTTACCCGCTGCCTCATATTCACGATTTGACAGCTACCTTGAAAGGTACAACTGTCTTTTCGAAAATCGACTTAGTTAAAGCTTATAACCAAATCCCGATGGCAACTGACGACATTCCTAAAACCGCCATCATTACTCCTTTCGGTCTTTACGAATTTCTACGAATGCCTTTTGGTTTAAGAAACGCGGCTCAAACCTTCCAAAGGTTTATAGACGACGTCTTCCGAGGTCTCAACTTCGTACATGCGTATGTTGATAACTGTCTAATAGCAAGTCCGGACAAAGAATCGCATCTCAAGCATCTGGACATTGTTTTCGATCGACTCCATTACTGGCATTACTGTCAACATACAGAAATGCCAAATCGGAACCAACTCCTTAGACTTCCTAGGACACACCATTGATGCTCAAGGCATCCGACCCCTTAGGAGCAAAGTGGCGGCCATTCTGGATTACCCAGAACCGACCACGATCAAGCAGTTGCGAACTTTTAACGGACTTGTAAGTTTCTATAGACGGTTCATATCCAAATGCGCATCCCTTATGAAACCGTTAACCGATCAGCTGCGTGGAAATGCAAAATCAATTAGTTTAGACGACACAGCCCGTAAAGCATTCTCCACAGTTAAGGAACACATCGCTACGACAACCCTGCTCGCTCATCAGGACACTCAAGCGCCCATTAGTATTGCCGTAGACGCATCCGACTCAGCAATCGGAGGAGTCTTACAACAATGGGTTAACAACTCGTGGCAACCTTTAGGATTTTTCTCCAGACGGTTGCTAGACACTGAATCTAGGTACAGCATGTTCGGTAGGGAACTCCTAGCTATGTATTGTGCTGTACGGCATTTCCAACATTCCATCGAAGGAAGAGAATTCACACTTTTTACCGATC